TATGATGACATGTTTTCTGTACTTATATGCGTATGTGTTTACAAGCATCCTGGTTTGATACGTGCTTAGGTGTTTAAGTACTTAGAAGTTTTCATTATTTGTTTAGCATGTTGTATATGCTTATCTGCTTTATCATAACTATATGTTACATACATTGACGTGCTACTTATTTGATGCATTCACTGAGCGAGTTGCATTCGGTCATAATAACTTACGTTATTATTGATCTCGTTTCCTTTTTACGCATATAGCATTACATTCTTAACTCACGGAGTGTCTTCTAATTAGGGCTTACGTGAACGTAGGGTTGTAGTCTCCGTCTGACGAGATGAGACATGGGCCACGGAGGCACCGTTTCATCTCATTTTCTTTTGTTTCTTCGTGGTGTGGTCATGGTAGTGTTAGAGGCGTTGGTGTCATCTTTTAGGAATTCGTAGTGGTCTTGACGTCTTGATGTCATCGAGGTCCTTATTTATAGCGTCATAGGAAGATGAGTTAGGATTGACTCAAATCCTTCCTTGGGGAATCGGGAGTTGCTTTGTGAGCCTTAGGGCGAGGTTCTCGTGTCGTGTTTTCTTAGGATGGTGGTTTCGGGATTTGAATAGGTGTGTTGACCTAGGACCCTTCTTGTGTTGCCTTAGACAGCTCTTATGAGCTACGATTGGGATGTAAGTGGTTTCGTGTAATTAATTATTTTGGTGCAATTAATTACTCTCCCTTGTCTTTGGAGACTTGAGGCGTTGTGTTAGGGTTCTAGTAGAATCCTATAGAGTTCCTATCGAACTCGTTGGCATCTTGGATTAGGGGTTTTCTTATTGATGTCTCGTAATGGTTAGCATTGGGGCTATCCATTTCGTTGTTGTTTTGTTTCATGTGGTGTTGGGATTCTATCGGGGTATAAGCTAGTCCTGGGAAAGACTTGTTGACCCTATGTCTCGAGGACTTTAGTGGTCGTTGGGGGGGGGGGGGGATAATTCCTTTCCTTATAGTGAGAGATTGGACTCATCTAGATTTTGTGTTACGTTTTCTGAGAGGTTGTCCTTTAAGAGGCATTCCATTCATTTATTTTGATTTTATGAACTTGTCATTTGTATGATCACTTTTACATGTTTATGAGCCCCATTATTTTCGGGCATGCTTTAGAAACATGTTTAGGATATGTGGCTATGTGGTAGTCCGTGTGAGGATATAGATGATACGTTTTCATATAATGTATCTATTTCATATACTTGTGCCATTAGTGGTGTATAGCATGTTGTCATTTATTTGACCCCTATATGAAAGGTGGCATACTTCATTTACCTTATATGTACTATGTGCTTAGTACTAAGGCATTTTTTGATTTATGTGATTTAAAATTGTGAGTATCTACTATGCGAGTATTTGTACTGTTTCATCTTTCCTGCACTTGTGTGGGGGTTTTGTGACCTTGGTTGTCGGGATTGTCATGAGTGAGCTACGTAGTAGACTTGTATATTGAGGTTTTTATTTGTCCACTATAGGGATTTTTGACCCAGCATTTTGTCCTCTGTATGTAGCTTTACGGTAGGTCTACTACAAATCTGTGCTTAGGTTTTCGGTTTATAGGTCTGATCCACTGGCTTGAGGGCACAAACTTATCAGGCTGTGGATTCAGGACTGGTGTCGTTGTTGTAGCGCTTTTAGATGTGGGAGTCGTTAGGTACGCCAGCATTAGGGATTTAAGGCCTTAAGCATAACGGTGCCTATGACATTGTTGTTAGAGTTTTGGGATTAGCTACCCCAACTCTCGCAGATGCCTGGTTCCTGTAGTGCTTTTGGTAATGATCATTTCTGACATTGATGTCATTTGTATCGAAAAGTTTCATTCTGGGTTGATCTATTAAAGGCATGTTATGAATTAGTGCCTTATACTACTATCATGCTACCTTACTGACGAGTAAGTGTGGGTAAGTTCTGGTCATTGTTCGTACTACCATATCATTCTTAGCCATCTATCTTGATTCGACTTGTTGCTGTCTTGGGATTCTCTCGATGATTGACATTGGGTCAATATGCCGATTCATTTGGGAGGTGTTATTCAGTTCTTGGTTTTTGCGTTCCTATGGATGATCTTCAGGCTTTTGGAGTTGTCCTTCAGCACCTTATGATCTGTTCTTCAGTTTGACCTTGCTTCGATCTTGTTCGGTACTCTTTTGTGTGTTCCTAATTTCGGGGACGAAATTCCTTTAAGAATGGTAGGTTGTAATGACCTTGTCATTTTCCTTTCTTTCCTTTTTCTCTGATTTTCACGAATATATTTTTTTTCTGTTGATCTTTTCCTTTCTGAGTTTGGTTTCTCATCACTTAGTGTCATCTTAAGTGCTCTGGAATGATTTCTGAGACTCTTTCCTTTGGATTGACAACTTCCTTTGAGGACCGCGTCATTTCCACATTTTCATTTTTTTGACTATTCATTTTTCATCATTTTCCCTATTTTGTCTTTTCCCCGTTTATCACTTTTTGGCACAACTTCACTTTTTGTGTTCGGAGTTGGTTTTTGACTTCACATATCTTCATTCTATGTGGTTTCCACAAAATACATATCTTTACTTTTGTAGAAAGTACTCTGGTTACTCCCGGTGTCTATAGGGGCATGGATGCGTAGTTGTTCAGAAATATTCTTATTTCTTAGGGTGTTTTTCATAAATATCTTTTGAAGATATTTATTTCAGGGGTTTTTAAGAAAATATCTTTTTGGAAGATATTTTCATTTTGGGCCAGTTTCGTAGTTATCACTTTTTGTAAGGGCCATTATGCAAAGTTATTGCAGAATGCCTCGTTTTGAGCCTGAATCCTCGTACAGGATTCATTTTCACTTTTCGTCAAGTCGTGTACTCTTAGAACTTCCTTCTGGTTGTTTTTCTCCAGTTTCAGTGTTTCTGACCCCAGTTGCCGCTAAACTTGTTTGGGGCATATCTCTCTGCTCTGAACTCGGTTTTCAACCTCATTTCTTTCGTTGTTCATATTTTCTCATTTTGGTTCTTTTTCGTTCACGGAGTTTTGCCGTTTGAGCGCGTCTGCTCAAATTCCACTTTTTCGGACCCGGCGGGTCCTTTTCGGGGCACTTTTAGGGTTTTCTATAAATAGGAGGTCTTAAGAGAAAAAGTCAGATTTTTCTCTCTCTCCTCTCTCTTGGCAGGCAGCCAAGGGGCTGCCACCATTCTCTCTTCTTTTCTAGCCACTTCCCTTTAGTAAAACGCCGTAGTGCCTTAGTATTTTATGTTTGCCTTGGTGAGGACTACGATTCCACCGATTGGAATCTCGTTTTGCCCATTTTTTTGAGTTCGGGTTTGAAGTCAAGTTGTGATTTTGATGGGTCTTCCTTGGGATTCTTGTTCACCGTGTTATCCCCGACAAAACCTAGAAGTTTCGTCGGATTCGAAGCACTTTTCTTTCGGTTGGGATGTTCTAATTTCATATTTTTTTGTTGTCTTGCATGCTATTGATGCTTATACAACTTGTATGCATGCTTTTGTTCATAATCTAAAATTTAATTTAATTATTTTCTATGTTTAAGATTTAATTCACATGATGATATATAACTTAGAATTAAATTGTGGCATGCTAGAAAATTAGGTTTTGATATATTTGTTAACATATATTAAATTGGGATTATTTGAATAAGAATTGCACTTTTTATTTAATAATTATCTTTTGTGAAAGGTTAATTCTCATAGACGTATCTTGCATGAAATTAACTTGTGATATGCTTTTAAATTGAGTCTTGGCATGTTCTTTAACATACTTTAATTTGAGAGCATTTGAATGGATTTGAAAATTTAGAGATTTTAATTAAAAGAATTAATTAAAATCTATTTAAAGGTTCCACTGGCTTAATTGAGTTTTTAACTTGATATTTGTAATGACTAGGACTTGTTTACTAGCATATATTAAATTGGGACTAATTGAAATTGTTTTAGAAGTTAGAGATTTAATTATCATGATTTAATTAAATTTTACATTGTTGTTCCATCGGCCTAATTGAGATTTTGAATGAATGTATGTAGTAACCATGCTATGTCGTTTAACATGTATTAATTAGGGATCATTACTTGAGATTTAAAACTTAGAGAAATTAATTAGGTTATGTAATTAATTTTCGTTTCTATTGCGTTGATGATTTAATTATGTGTTGACATTGGTAGTATGTTTAAAGCATGATTTTGGACTTGTATTGGATTCTTCAGTTTATGTTTTCAATATTGAATTATATTGTTATAGCGTCTAACGAATCGTACACTGAAGATTCGACATGTGATGTTATTATAGCGCGTAATGAATCGGATTCTGAAGATTCGACATTGTCATTCAATAGTAGTTGTGGATTTAGATCATGTATTGTGTGGTTCCAACCTACTTGTGCATGAAGGTAGTTTCGTGTACTATTTAATACATATATAAGTTATTAACTAATTTATTTTGGAACCACTTGGGACATTGCATGATGGCTAGGGTTTAACTCTAGTACGGAGGCAAGAGTCCTCTAAGTCAAAAGTACGCGAGTTGGGTAGGTTGCCCGTGGGTTAGTAACCCAGAAGTAGCCCTGTGTCGGTCTAATCCGATTGATGTCCAAGCATATCCGCTTTTGTTGATTTCACACTTTTAGATTTCAAGTTGATAACTTTGAGAATCTATGTCTTGATGTGTGATATTAGAAATTCTAATTATACTAAATTGCTATATTTAGTTATTTTCGTACTTTAGATTTCAAGTTAATAACTTTGATAATCTATATCTTGTTGCTTTGTATAGCATGCTTCTATGTTGTTGGAATTGCATGAATGATGTGATTTATGTTAGAAATGTTCTAAGATAGCTTAGGATGTTCCCTGAGTCTCACCTTTGACATAGACGCTAGGTGGAACGAACCACATTGATTAATCTATGCAAACTTGTAAAACGTTAGGTCTATGCATGCTCATCTTCTACGGAGTAGCTTTATGTTACTCACCTTGAAGTTACTGGGGATTTCGTTTCAGGTACAGGATTCAAGATTTGGAGATTTCACTTGCCTTCGGTGATTTGTAGCCTCTTATGACAAGACTTGTATTTTTGTTCTAATTATGTAATGTGTACATAAGTACACCTTTTGTAGTGTATTTGACATGTATGACATGAGGCCAAGGGCCAAGCAAGTTTACATTTGCACTAGTAATCATTTGGTGCCATATTTTGCTTAAAAATGTATCTTAACCAACTTTGGGGGTTTGACATGTGAAATCTTTGTAATTTTCATGTATGAGGTCATAAGCCGTTGCAATACATTCATATATTCATATTACACTTGTTGACATGTTCACATGCTCATATCTCCTTGAAAACCAACTCTAAACCTTTGTTTTTCAACCAAATCATCATAGGATTTGAGGCTTGGGTTAAACCTCAATGTTTTTGGCATATAATAGTTCATTTAGCAGCTTTTTGAGTCATTTCGGTTGACCATTTCTTACCGATGGCTTTTGTGAAGTTCATTACATAGTAAAACACTCATTCCAATAGCCATTTTCACTGTTCAGGGTCATTTCAGTCGACTAATGGCTTATTTCGGTCTACCGAAGTGACCTCCCCTCAGAAACATGTTTTCAGGAAAAATTTTGTTCATTTCGGTCATCCGAAATACCATTTTGGTCAACCAAAATAGCCCTCATGCACCAGCCTTCCAGGTTTTGTTTCAACTTTGATGTTCCAACTTCAAAGGGTCATAACTTCTTCATTTCTAATCCAAATGGGTTGATTCTTGAGCCTAAACTTAAGGATTTTGAGTCAGATTTCCAGTAGTACCAATGCTATTCTCAGATTCAAATCACAGTGGGAGTTATTCATGTTTTAGTGAGACAGTGTCAGTTTTTGCTTAAATCGGGAAAGGGCGTTTTGTGGAATTCTTAGCCAAAGGTCTTAGAACCTCTTAGAATGTTATGAAATGACTAGGTTAGGTTGTTTTCACCTTGTTTGACTTGTTTAGGGTAAAGTTTCTCTTTTTATTTGCAAATTGACCATTTTGCCCCTTGGTTAATGGATTTTGCTCGTTTTGACCTTTGTTTCCGCTTTCATTTCCTTTGAGTTCCGTGACTTCATGGAAGGTCACATTGGTGTCTTGGAGATGATTTATATCTCTATAGACTTTGGTTTTTATCTTTTGCTTCCACATTTCAAATCCGTTATAGGATCAACTTTTGATTCAACGTTGACACACCGAGTTGCAAAACTTGGGCCGTCACAAGCCCCCACCCTTTGGCCCCTCCAAATGTCAATCAAATCCCTTGAGGTATAACCCACTGGATGCCAAAAAGACACAAAATTAGACTCCAGTAGCCATGAGCCACGAGACAATGGAAAATAAGGTGATTCACAAACTCTCCATCATTCTTGCGTAGACAACACCGATTGACAATGATTTGTCTTCTCTTCTCAAATTATCCAGAGTCAAGATCCTACCCTAAGTTGCAGTCCAAGCAAAAAAGGTCACCCTAACAGGTGCCTTCGAATGCCAAACCGTTTTACATGGGAAATTGGTACCATGAAACTCGGAGAGGCAAAGAAAGAAGGGCCGGACTTGAAAATTCCCTTGCAAAGAAAGCACCCAAGTCAAAGAATCCAAACCAGTGCCATCCACTTCCTTTCTACACAAAAGGTCTAGCAAGCCAGTGACGTCATCCAACTCCGAATCCTGAAAGGATCACCGGAATCCCACATCCCAAGGCAACCTACCGCTATCGAGTCAATAGCAGTCAGTAACCAAAGCATGTCTATCAACAGTAATCCTGAACAACCTTGGGAACAAACAAGACAATGGACGGTCCTGGCACCAAGTAGCCTCCCAAAATCGGACGTCCCTTCCTTATCAAACTCGGAATCTAATATGCTTAGAGAACTCATCCCAACCCTTCTAATGGATTTCCATACCCCCACGCAAACAACAGATCTGACCGGCATAGATGACCATCCATCTCTCTCCTCCCCAAAACGACATAAAATAATCTTCCTCCATAACATATTTTCATGAACATATGAGGTGGGTATGTAGAGACATGTATGTGGAAATGTGAAGAGGTGAAATACGAATTTGAATTTTTTTTGAAAAAAAGGTTTTTCTAAAACCCAGCATTGGGGAAGTACCCCTTTGACGGTGGTAGTAATTGGTTAATAGGGCACGTGAGGTATCTGTGAGTAATTTAGTGACTCGGGCCCCAAATGGTAATTAGGAGGTACCATTTTGCTAAGGACAACAGCAAATTCCCTTAGGGACAGAGGGAGGTACTAAAAGTCCGGCTAATTAGTATGTTTTCGGTGTGGGTGTGTGGATATGCGGGGGTGTGTGTGGTGTGCGGTTGTATAATGTATTTCATGCATTGTATTCGACTAAATTGATGATGATGATCCCTTGATGAGTTACATGAAGCTTTGTGAAATCCCTAGCATGATCCTATTATCCCATCTCTATTATTTGTTGTGTAGAACATGTAATTGTTTACTTTGTTAGAATAGATGTCACTTAGGTAATATCTACTGAACTGCCGTGCTCATTCCTCTACTATATTTTTCAGGAAATGGAAAGGAAGTAATGGATGACCTACAACCTCACTTTCAAAGCATTTGAGAACTTCTATTGTCGGCTTGTTGTTTAGTCCATATGAAAGATGTACCTTTTGATGTAAATGAAACTTGTGATCAATCTTGTAATATTTTGTTAAACTTGTACTTGAAGGTTAAATATATGTATTTTGAGTATAGAAATGACTTAAAGACCACTCGTCCATCTCTTGCGGTGTCATTGTGAATTCCAATCCACCCTATGATTTCTTGACGTTATTATGATGTAAATTGATCTCATTTTGTTCATGAATAATGGTAAATCGAATCTATTATGATGTAGGGATGTTATTTAGTTGTTGTTTTTCGATTAAATACATGTTTTGGGGCAGGTTTCATATCATATCCAAGCTTACATTTGAGTCAAATGGATTGCCAATTGCTTATAACACACAAGCAGGCCTTACAAACAAAGTCTGGGCAGTTTCAATTGACGCCTACTTGTATCTCAAATTTTTGGACAATATACTATTTCACTGTACACAGCACATGCCGTTCAACGTTTGAGGACCACACGTCGACCGAAAGTCCTATTTTGATCGATGTGTAGGCCTCCACATGTCGACCGAGTCTTGTACACAGGTTGTTTCTTTTCCCATTTTGCCCATTCCTCACCTTTCCAATGGTACCATTATGCACCGTGGGACCAGTAAAGTGTGTTACACCATATTATCCTCGGATGACCTCGGGTTCGAGTAAGAACCTGATTAGCGATTCGAACCCCGGGTTCAGGTCATTACACATATATACATCTGCCTCAAAATTATTATTATTATTAGGATAAAGTGTTAAAAACCTCCTTGAATTGCTACCCTTTTGCAAATAACCCCTCTAACTATTGATTTGTTACAATTAAGAACAAACCTATCACAAAAGACTATTTTATCATTTCTCATTAAGTCATGGCTTATTAAATTATTTGATTATCTTTTCTCTTATATAAGTATTAATTATACAACTTACTTTAATTTTTTTCATAAATACTATGTACCTTAATTTTATTATTAGTATCAATTTATCATAAAAAATGACCAAAAAAAAAAAAAAAAGATTTGTAACTACCATTTTTTATAATGATTAACTTATTATTAAAGTTTTATTATTTATTAAACTTATTATACCCAGTTTAAACATTTTTTCTATAGAAAAATACTTTCTTTTTCATACAATATATTGATGAAAAATTACTTAAATAAAAAATACCTTCTTTTCATGTAATATATTCATGAAAATTTAATAAATTAATTAAAAATTTATAAAATTTTACTGAAGATTTTTATTTAAACAATTAATTTTAAAAATTAAAGGAAAATTATGCAATTTAGTGGAGAATGTGGCATAATATTAGTATGATTTTTTTTCATAATTTATTTCAATAAAAAAATAGATTAAGTGTAACTCAATAAGAAAGGGCATTGTGGTCATTTAATGAAATATTGTATAGGCATTGGGGCATTTTGCAATAAAATGTGATAGTTCAGGAGGTATTATACAGGTATTATGCACAAAATATAGTTCAGGGGCTTACATAAAATTTCAAACATAGTTCAAGGGGAATTTTTGCACTTTACCCTTATTATTATTTCGAAAGTCTAACTTTCTTTTTCAAATTTCAAAACTATGTATTTTAAACTTATAAGTTCATATTGTTAAGAACGTTGTAACTTATATAATTTTTTTAGAATTAAACTTTTTAAATGCAGACAAAACCATAAAGTGGCAAAGGATGGTCAGAAACAAATGAACAGAATCATGACTCAAGTTTGATGTGTTACAGTGCAAATTTAGCTATAATACATCATTGATTGATGACTTGGTGCAAATTTAGCTATAATACATCATTGATTGATGACTTAGCTTACCTTAGCATTAAAGTGTTAGCGATCGATACCACTCCTTTCAACTAATCACTTTGGCAACTACCTCATAGGGAATTACTCTTACATCAAATCAAGCAAGCACGCCTCGAAGTCTCTAAGGATCATAAAAGCTCCTTTATCGCACTTTGTACCTGAAATTGTTGGGGTGAGCACACTTGCCTAGTAGGAAAATATAGTACATACTTAACCTACATTCCATGAATTCAATAAGTATTAGACCGTGCAAGGCAAAACAAATACATTCTAGCTTAACGGAGCTTGATAGTCCAAATGCATCTATAGCAAGCATTTAAGTTCAATGAGCAATGTCAATCATAACCACTTCATTTTCACCAAAAATGAGCAAATATAGAAGTGTTATCAACAATAGCCATAAGTTGTAATTTATATACCAAATTTAACAACTGTTGGTGATAGAGGTCCTTTCCCTTCGCAGTCTTTTTGACGCTCCAAGGCTCTCCTTAAGGTGGCCTTCTTTGCTTGGACCTCTATCTTGGATAGGATTTTAACCCATGATAATTTAAGGAGGAGGAATCAGGTGGTTGTCAATCGTTGTTACTTGTGCCTACGCAATGAAGAGATAGTTGATCACCTTTTATTGCATTGCAGCATGGCTAGAGACTATTGGGATTTAATGATTGGTTTATTTGGGGTCCCTTGGGTTATGCCCTGTTCCTCTCAAGGGTTGATTGAGGTTTGGAGAGGTGTCTCAGGTGGGGCACTTATTCAAGATGCATGGAGGGCTACACCTCTTTGTATTTGGTGGTGCATTTGGCTCGAGAGGAATCAGAGATATTTCGATATAAATGAGAAGCCTATTTCTATACTTAAGTTCTCCATTATTTCCACTCACTTTTATTGGAGTTCAGGAAGAGATTATCATTCTGCAAAGAAGATTGTTATTTTCTTTGCCCTCTTTGAAGGCTTGAGGCTTTTTGTGGCCTTTTGTTCCTTTGGAATTCGCTCCCCTTTTGAGCGTTTTTTATAAAATCTTACTTATCAAAAAAAAAAAAAAAAAATCAAACGGGTTTATGCTTCTTATTTTCTAAGTTAAAGGAGCAAGTATTGTCCCAAGCAATTAAGAGCATTTCAACTTATCAATATCGATCACTTATACATTAACCAAGTATCACATTGTCAAATTTCAACTTTAAGCCCCACATTATCAAAATGAGCAATGTAATGTAAAGTAAACAACCACAAAGCCTAATCACCTTATCTATTACCAATAAGCAAGTATACTTTAAGCCTCATATTATCCAAATTACAAAACTCAACAAATGGATTATATCTGAAATCAAATCGAACTAGGATTGCTCGTACTAACACAAATGCCCAAATACATGTCAAAATCTCAAACCGTAAGTAGTGATTCCCGGGCTACTAACCTACCGATGACAAGCCGCTTGGCCAAGTTCGAGGATTTCCAACTTGGAGAAGTCTGTTCCCACTTACTTTTAAGCCGAGACAATCCCAAAAATCACAAGTAATCCACAAGATAACATGTATCACATTTATCGCATTACAAAGCACTTCACAAGTGCACATAGATAATGCAATTGAACATCATCGGATGCTTTATATGATGCTACTATAGTGACATGCATTTCAATGCAAAGTAGGGTCAACACTAATCAATTATTTTTTTTTTTTTTTTTTTTTTTTTTTTTTAATTTCAACACTCATAATTGTCGTCGACATTTGTAACTCAAGCATCTCATAAACATTTTGTCAAATTACTTATCAAATAATAATAATAATAATAATAATAATAATAATAAGCATTTTGTCAAACACCTTGTGGACAATGGAACAAGTTGTATATATGCATCATATGCCATAATTTCATATCAAGTTCACAATTAAGCAATTTACATTGCAATTATCATCTTCTAAGAGAAATTTCGAGAGAACTAATATAATCAATCATCCTTTTAACAGCATATATATGCTACAAATATGTGAATACCAACCCATTTAAAGTGGGAAATCACATACCACATTGGATCACAAGAAATTTTACATTTTTACACATGGAACATGGATTTATCATGTTTAACATACAATGATCACTTAAGGCATGTGATTCCCTCATATACAACATAACAAAATTATATAAAGCATGAAATCCATCACATATCATATCAAAACTATATAAAATCCACACTACTTCAATTTATATAAATCAACCTCCCATTTAAGCATGAGTGTATATATTAACACTCAAAAACCACAATTAAAGCATGCTTGATACAACTAATTTCTCACCAAGATGATTCCCATCATATACATACATATCTCAAAGTGTAAATGGACGACTAAGCATGTGAAGTACATTAAATCAAATATACACACATGATTTCATCATATCTAACATCCAAAGGCCACAATCATGGTTCGGCGAACCAGCCAGTTCGGGACGGTTTTAAGAACCTCCAATTCCAATACACACTAATAAATTGGTTCGTGTATGGAATCACAAGAGAACCGGCCGATTCCGTACGAACCGGTCCATTTTTTAATGAACCGGCTCACTCCAAATTTTTAAACGCCATTTAGTATGTTCATTATTAATATATATATATATATATATACATATTTTTTTTAATAATCAGCCTTGTGAAGAACAAGGCTGATTATTGTTATATTCATATAGGCCAATTCAGCTATTTAAACCAGACCTAGCCCACCACATTTAAGAAATTATCAATGCCTTCCAAGGTTTTATAACTCATCCTTGTTACTTTGTTCCAATATATATGGAGATAGAAGTATTACCATTGTTTCTCAGCTTTTATAACTCACCCTACAAAAATATCTTTGCTTTTGGGAGTGGGTTTCTTTTGATGTGTGTTCCATTCATGTATTTTTACACTTAAATCTATTCTTCTTCTTTCTTTTTTTCTTTTTTTTTCTTTTTTTTTTTTTTTTTTCCCTGCCAAGAAAACGACAGCCCAACACAGCAACAAATATTACATAACCATCAAATTACATAGACTATATAGACAACGTATTGGGGCACTCCTCAGCAGTCAACTTAAGCACCTCCAAAGGATAGTGCACCGGAACATGATCCGAAGCCAAATGAAGTTTCAGTAAGGGAGGGAGTATCACAGGTTTAAGTTATGTTACCAAAAAAAAAATGTGTATTGGTGCATTTTGGACCCTATGTGCAAGATCAAAAAAAGGTTCACGACTAAGATACACGATTTCGTAACGTAACACCGATACATGCTCGATTCTCTTACACCGCGTCTGCAACAACAACCAATATCGTGATTGCGAACCTTGGCCACAATGTAGCATGCTTTACACGCCCACACACTCACAAAACTCATAGAAATTAAGGACATAGCACACCCCTATCTCAAAAGGAAGAAAACCTATTCGTCCAACCGAAGTGATAGTCACCCAAATGGAAATCTGAGACCATGTTTATGTAGAACACGACGAGCCCGGCAAACTTTCCTTCTTCGCTTTCTTCCAAATCAGATAAAAAATGGGGTTAAGGAGGAGAAATAAAGTTAATCTAAGAGACTTTTAGAGAGAGAAAGAGGTGAGGGCGATATTTTGGCTTGCCAAGGAGTTTTGTGGCCTCAGATTAGTCAATCCCACCCTTTTATACTCCTCTCTTGCACAATTACATCAATGCCCCTCCTTTAATTGAAATCTCAAAAATGCTCTAATGTTGCGTTTGGTGTGTAGGAATAGAATGGAATAAAATGTCCATTCCAACCATTCATTTATTTGGTATGCAAATGGTCATTCCATTGGAATAAAAATTCATTTTTAGGAATGAAAATTCACTTCACAACTAAATCTATAGAATAGTCATTCCATTCCTAAGTAAATTTTTTTAAAAAATCAACTTCCTAAAAAGCCCTCATATAACAAGTCCAAAAACCATAACTACCTTCCACCACAACCACCTTCGCCTTTCACCACCACCACCACTGACTTCCACCACCACCGCCCATCGCTTTCCACCACCACCATCGCCTTTCAGCACCGCTACCACCTTCCCCTATCATCATCACCTTTCACCACAGCCACCACCTTCCACCACCACCACCGTCACTACCTTCCACCACCACCGCCGCCACCACTACCTTCCACCACCACTGCCGCAAACACCACCTTCCACCACTACCACCACCACCGCCTTTCACCACCACTACCACCTCTCATCACCACCACCGCCACCGCCTTTCACTACTACCATTGCTTTCCACCCCCACTGTCTTCCACCGCCGCCGCCGCCACGCCACGGCCTTTCACCACCACCACCTCCGCCGCCTTCCACCATCACCGCCTTCCACTACCGCCACCACCTTCCACCGCCACCACAGCCATCATCACTGCCTTCTACCATCGCCACTGCCTTTCACCACTTTCCACCACCATCGGCTTTCACCACCACCACCACCGCCACCATAACCACCTTCCACCACCACTATTGCCTTCCGCCACCGCCACCGCTATCGCCATCGCTTTTCACCACCACCATCACCAATGCCTTCCACTATCACCACCATCCACCACAGCCACTACTACCCCTTCTACCACTGCCACATCCACTGCCTTCCACCATCACCGCCGCCACTGCCTTCCACACCACCACAGTCACCTACATTGACTTCCACCACCGTCACCTACACCACTATTTCCTTCCACCACACTACTACCACCGCCTTTTACCATCGCCGTCATCGCCTTCCACCATTGCCACCACCGTAGCCTTCTAACCCCACCACCTACACTACTACCACTTTCCACTTCCACCACCATCCACCATTGCCACTGCTACCATTTATTTTTTAAACAATTATCGAAGAATGCCATTTTGTTATTTTAATTTATTTGTTACTAAGAGGGATAGTTTGGAGAACTCAATTTGATATTTATTCCATTCTAAATTTTAAATCAGTCAAACCAAACATTAAAATGATTATTGTCATTTTATTCCTGCACATTTCATATTTCCAACCAAATAATAGAAAGAATGGCCATTCCATTCCATTCTCATTCTCATTCCATTCCCATTCCCATTCCCATTCCCATTCTATTAGAATATTTTGGGTCATTATCACTATAAGAAAAATGACTTTTTACCACGGTGAAAAAAACTTTCTACCATGGTTTTGAATTGTAGTAGAAACAGCCGTGGTAGAAAGTCGAGACTTTTTACCACAATTTTGAACCGTGGTAGAAAGTCTATTTTCTTAGAAATTAATAGACTTTCTACCACGGTGCATAACCGTGGTAGAAAGTGTTATATATATATATATATATATATATATATATATATATATATATATATATTTTTTAAATAGTGTGGCCCATTTGAAGCTTTCACCCCCCCCCCCTACTACTAGCCTTGCAAGGACCCCAAAGCAAACTCTAAATAAATAAAAAATAGCATCATAACCAAAATAATTTACAACTGACCAATAACATCATATATATATATATATATATATATATATATATATATATAACCAATTCCAAACCATTGTTTTATACAAAAATTAGCCATATACAAATTTCAAATAAATACATGATCCACACCTTATATATTTACTTAACCAAAATAAAACAAAAATTCTTCATATCTTCTTGCAACTTCTTCATGAGCCATACAAAAAATATAGCTGCAACAAAAAAAGTAACGGCAACCGCAACCCGCAATCCTATCTTTGACCTACAAAGATATAATAGTTGAAGTAAGAGAATTAATGTAAAGCAAGTTCATAAAAGAATGGCTAATGTTGTCTTTATAAAAAAATATAAAATGATAAAATTGTCTTGAGGAAAAATAGTTACCTAAAATATACAACATATACTTATAACCAGCTTTAAATGGCATTTTTCAAAAATAAAAGCTATATTCTTTGAATGGATTGAATTGGATAGGATTAAAACATTTTTCTCCTAGTTTAAAAAAAAAAAAAAAAAATCCTATGAACTTATTTAATCTATCAAGGATAAAAATCCCATAGTCTGAATAGCGTTGTGCATTCACAGTCATATAAAGCCAAATGGGTATGAAAAAGGAACATGTAACATTCATTTTCAACCAATATTAAGTCAAATTTTGGGGGGTCTGTAGAAATCCTTGACTAAGAAGCTCAAGCACACTTGAAAAAGAGAACAAAGACTAAAATGGTCCTTGCAGAGCTCAGTTTCTTCAAGTTGTTGTCCAAGTCAAACAAAGCAATATTAGTTATTTTCAAAGGTGTATGCTACTCAGTGACATATATAACCTGACAAAATAGTAGTAAGATTATTTTCAAAGAGGTATGTATACTTCAGTTTCATATGCCCTGACAAAATACAAGTAATAAAGACACAAAATTGGTGGAAATTAGATTCAACTAGTTCAAAGGGAGATAACAACTGTGTGTGTAGTTTACTAATATTGGGGAGATTGGGATGTACTGAGATAGTAGTGACATGGGTATGCCCCTTGTTCCCTCTCAATCCCATTGTGAGAGGAAGCAAAGGTACAGAAACAAACACATATCCAAAGAGGTGAAAAAGGGGTGTCTACACAAAGTAAAAGACATTTCCTTACAAGTGGACAACAAAGTGATCATCTCTCTCTTTAGGCTCTATATGCACCAGAAAATATAATTGATTTCTAATACTGTGAACACACCCATAAACAAAGACAAGTTCATGGGTGAAAATCCCACCATGAATGGGTGTCAATATCAAAGAGATACAACCTGCATCTAAAAGTCACAAACTTAAATATATTGAAAGGCAAATTTGTGTGGGTACTCGCACATAAATTAAACTGATTTTTATATTTAAAATAAACAAATATATTAAAAGTGGGGATTGAAAGAGAGCATATTCTAAAAATTTATATAAAAACAAAAAGCATTCAAATTATGGGATAATCATTCCAATGGGAAAGGCATGTAGCTTCACTTTCCACAGACCTCATTATATGTGTCATCATGCACCTTTAGGCTTTGCTATGTCTACCTCCTCTCTTCATCTTCAACCCCTACCTCTCTTACTTCCAACTTTCACTTTTTCCACCGCCTCCCATAAAATACTAAATATTTATTCTTTTCTAAACCAAAACCAGTTGAAAGACTGCAAGTTTGCAAACACTCTCTTGGGTTTTCTCTTAATTCTATTCTGATACTCCCTTTAGTGTGTGTGTGTGTGTGTGTGTGTGTGTGTGTTTAATTCTATTCTGATACTCCCTTTAGTGTGTGTGTGTGTGTGTGTGTGTGTGTGTTTAATTCTATTGATATGTGTGTGTGTGTGTGTGTGTGTGTGTTTAATTCTATTCTGATACTCCCTTTAGTGTGTGTGTGTGTGAGAGAGAGAGAGAGAGAGGATCCAGTTCATCATATCTCAGTTTCTACTGATAAGGTTGACAACATAACAAAAGGTATCTTTCTGTTAGTTTTTCTCACCATTCAGGTTCAGTAGTTTTCATCTGAACCTTTTCTTCTAATAGGGTTTACTTTCTTCTTGTAGATTGAATCATCAAACTCAAAATAGAAGCTTAATTGATATATATATATATATATATATATATGTTAGAAAAAATGGCAGAAGAAGCAAACTCTAATGGTTCCATTCAAAATCCAATTGGTGGATCAAATCCTCCCACCATAAAGAAGAAAAGAAACCTCCTAGGAAATCCAGGCAAGCCTCTCTATTTTCCCAATCAAACATAATTTTTTTGATTATTTTCTTGTCTATCTTACTTTATCATGATCAGAGCTATATTCGTGGATATTCAAGATTATTATTTTTTAAAAAATATTTTGTATACTATCTTTATTAACAGATCATACAGCAGAAGTAATCGCTTTATCACCCAAGACTCTAATGGCCACTAACAGATTCTTGTGTGAGATGTGTGTTCAAAGGGATCAAAACTTGCAGCTACATAGGAGAGGGCACAATCTGCCATGGAAGCTCAAGCAAAGGACTAGCAAGGAGATTAATTGCTTACATTTGTTTACTAACAACCACTTTTTCTATTGTTTTTCGCGATTGAATGATCTTGTTTAATATTCCCCTTATTGCATTATCCAAAAAGGGGAAAAAAGTTCCAATCAAATGGTCCAAATCTAGCAGGCCTAATGGAATTTTTACTAATACGTACAGAATCAAGTGGTTGATCCATTTTTTTTTACTCAACTCTTACAATATATTACTATAGTAGGAGAAATGTTATTTCTTGAGCATTCCTTATTACTGCCAAAGAAATTCAAATGGTATATACTAATTGGTTGCTTTAAATGGATTCAAAGTAATTCCTTCTAATTTAACTGAATATATATAGCTGTGTTAAAATCTAGAAAAGGGAAATTACCTCAGTTTTCACATGCAGCTTTCTTTCATTTTCCGATGGAGACCTAAAGAAAAAAGGTTGGAAATGTTAGCTCAATGATAATTATACAAAATGGAATATGTAAACCAAACAGATAATTAAGAGACTTCTATATATCTTACTCATTCATAATCGTTGATGGCACTGAGCTCCTAGAAGATCCTGAGCCCTCCAAGACTGATCCAGCAGAGGTGGCTTTCTTTTTGTAGCCTGGGCAGAAAATGTTCAGCTTAAACATGAGTTGAAGTTTACTCATCTAATATACATTAATGATGAAAGAAGAGCATAGGTTTCAACTTCACTGCACGGCGATACATTTTTGGTCGCGCAAACACACATTGCAAAACATAAAAATGCATTGGAGTACTATATATATTGTTGAATTGCTGAAACAACACTTTTATTGCTAAGATTATTAGTCAAGGATCAAACTAGCTTGGTTCATGGTTAGAGTTTTTCTTCTATAACTAGGTTATCAATCATTTATGCTTTCATCTATTTCTTTTCCCCTTTTGTTTTGCCATATATTGGTATACCCTTAATCATTTGTTAGAATATATTAACTATGGCAAATGTAGAAGCATGATCTTGAAAATATTAAAGAATAAAGATGCACAGTTTCAAAAGAAAAAAACCATATTTTAGGTGCAGATAAACAAGATGAACTTCTTAGTAGACTTGCTCTTTTCCAAATTACACCATTAAATGTAAAGATTCACTTCTTAATGGATAAGTTTTACTATTTGAGTGCTTGGGGTTTCTGGATCACATAGAAGGCCAAAACACACCGTACACACACACACACACACACACATACATACATAGATATATATATGTAGAGATACACACACACATGCATATATATATGTAGAGAGAAAAGAGAGGGCTTACCTGCTTTATAGTGATTGCAGTGGCTGCTCTCCTTAAGGCTTTTGGTTCAAAGAAACTTGGATGTTCCAAATATAGCTGCACACAAAGAGGTTCACTACTCATTGATTTAATAGGTGTTATTAAAGGAGGTTGCTGCCACTGCTTTGTGTCTGTTGGGATCTATAAGTCTACATCCTTGCTTGTATTAGCTTGAGGGAGAGAGCAAAAGTAAGCTGTTATCTCCCCCCTGCAATCTGTCAAGTCGATAAGAGCTTGAAGACCCAATTCCAGTCTCAATACTTTAAAAAATAAAATAAAAAAATAAAAATAAAAAAAGAAGAAAAAGAAAAAGAAAAAGCACAGTACATTATTAAAAGAGCAGAAAACACCTAGCCGTACTGAGATGAACTAAATAATTTAATAATTGTCATGAATGAGAACCCCCAAATGAAGGCATACAACAGGTTACCCTTTTCCTATCACTTAGCTCTTCATGCTTTAAAAACCAAGCTCCAACAAAAGCCTATGTTCAACTTCCCGCGATAGATGGAACTGTTGCTGGCTTTGAATCCTCAGCTTTTTCATGTTATTTGTTAAGCATCTAAAAGCAAAATTTGCAAAATCTCAGATATCATCTAAATATGTGAATGCAATTACATTACCAGCACAAAGTAATGGTTCTCAATTCTTGCGAATGCCTGTAGGGAACAAATTAAGTTCATATCATTAAAAAAAAAAAAAAAAAAAACCTAAGCCATGTTAAACAATCACAATAAAGCTGCCTAATCATAAGATCTGATCGCAAATTGCAGATGCTCATAACTTCAAAAGATAAACATTTATACCAAGTTGAAAGTATCTAAAACTAGTATTAAGAAAAATTAAGATAAGATTAATTGCATACTCTTCATTTCCCCAGCTAATTCGTATATTTAGCACCATTGATGACACCATAAGCTCGGGCTTTCTTCTAAAGAAGTTAAAGGGAATTCATGAATTTTTGGTTCAGCATTAAGTTTAAACAGGGAGTACCATTGCAGTCCACTTAGGTCCCCTACTTAGAGACAATCCCACCGATGAGGCCTTAAAAATTCCAAAATAAAGGTAATGCTGAACCAAAAAAAAAAAAAAAACTTGGAAAATGAAACTTGATGTCACTGTCGCATTGCAAATCGGCAAAGTGTTGCAAGGTTAATGATTCAATCAGGTTTAAATGATAATATTTGGGCTGTTTTCAATCTAAAACAAAACATACACCCATTTGTGACACTTAAATTATGAGATCAAATTTGAGTTTCACCATCAATCCCTAAATCTAGAACCAAATAAGATTTATAAAAAATCACCAATTGAATCACTTATCTGTAGTCAGAATTTGTACTGTTGAAAAAAGAAAAAAGAAAAAGGTTCCTGAATATTGAATCTATAGAAGATAAAATTTGGATTTAGATGGCCATAAAGCACACAATAATTAGTCACATACAATATACAACAACAAAAGGGCGTGTGTGCTAAAGTAACTCACCAATGAAAACTTATCATCATCCCCTTTCTTGATATTCTCTTCATTTGGAAGAAGATGAGCAGTCATCATTTCCCATTTGGTCCATGCTCTAACAGCTGCATACTGAGAACAAATAAAAAATTTGCTAATAATAGATTCCCAGAATATAACAGTACATGCAGATTCACGATCAATCAATGATATTCTACATGAGAGGGTTATATTGATATCGCCCTACCAGATACACCCCTTTGGCTGCATTTGGGGCTACAGAAAACTAAGCACCTGCAGTAGTTTAAGAGAACTCCCACTAAAACTTTTTAAAAAAAAAAAAAAAAGACCAATACCATAGAATTTAAGCATTCTGTTATTTCTGGTCAAGAAACTACCTTTATTTAGTTTTTTTGTAAGATGCCTGGCTGTACATCTCTCATTCATCATAGATATTTCAAATGCCTTGATTATAACAAAAATGAAACTATAAACCATGCCTTATCCACAACTTCTACATTTCTAGATGTTCTCCGTCGAGCATCACTCATCAGGGAGCAAGCGGTTGACATAGACCTTCTTGTGTTGTAAGGACATAACATTATTAATTCATTCCAAGCAAATTTCAACAATCCATACAAAAGTCTACAGTTCCATGTATTAAAACCGTGTTCTAACAGGTTACCCTTTTCCTATCACTTAGCTTTTCATGCTTTAAAAACCAAACTCAGGTAAAAGCCTAGGGCTTCGAGAAAATCAATAAATTGCATCAAATTAATTTAATAAAATCCTCAAATCCCAAAATCCCCAACTGATTTTTCATCACAATTACTTATCCACATATGGAGATAAATATTTCGCCAACATATTGAGATGAAAGATATAAGAGAAACATTTACCTATAGAGTTCTGTAATTTTGGTCGATTGCTGATCTTCAAGTTATTACTCAATGTCATCCTTATGAGAGAGTAGAGAGGGCTTGAGAGTTGAGATATAACGGGCCTGAGGCTGAAGCTTTCGAACGGCGAACCCGAACTAGAATAGCGGGCGATGAAACTGAAGGATATGGGTTTTGATTTTTTGAACAATCTGAAATGATATGCCGATATGGGTTCTGATTCTTGTAGATTTTGTAGTTTGTAGTTGCAGAGACAGAGAGAGGGCAAGTTCAGAGTTAAGAATGAGAATAGAGATGGAGGCGATCTGGGAGGCTGATCTGATTCTTGTAGATTTTGTAGTTTGTAGTTGCAGAGATAGAGAGAGGGCAAGTTCAGAGTTGAGAATGAGAATAGAGATGGAGGCGATTTGGGAGGCTGAAATGATTTTCCCTAAAATCGTGTGGTCTGTAGGTGTGTGTGGTCTGAAATGATTTGCCTAAAATTCTAAGAAAGAAGCGGGTATAAGACCTGCGCACGGCTTTAAACCAAATTCAATTTCTACCACGGTGCCTAAAACGTGATAAAATAAGTTACTATCACGGTTTTTCATTAACTGTGTTAAAATAAAAGGCTGGGTAAAGATGCACTAAATTTAAGTGAAATTAATTCACTTTCTATCACAATTATAAATAATTGTGGTAAAATAAATTCACTTTTTACCACAGCTCTATTATAACCGTGGTAAAAAGTATAATTACTACCACGATTTTTAATTAACCATGGTAGAAAGTTTTTCTATCACTGTTTTACAATAATCATAGTAAAATATATTACTTTCTACACGATTTTAAAATAATCGTAGTAAAAGACACTTTCTACTACGGTTATTTTAAAACCGTGGTAAAAAAGGCGTTCTAAAAAATTATTTTTCTTGTAGTGTATGCAATTATATATAGTTGATAGGGTGATTGTGTAATTAGCTGAGTCTTGCATCTTTATATAAGCCATTGTAGGCTCAGGGTTTTAGATATATGAAATACACATTTTCTATAGCCACCATGATCTCTCTCTCTCTCATCAGTTTGAACATGGTATCAGAGCGGTATGAAACAATGGGAAACTAAGATTGTGGTTGTGATTGCATTTGTGGTGTTCTTCTACAAATCGAAATCGAAATCGAGATCGAAGTCGATTATGTTCTTCACCGAAGGTTTGTCCGTCGTTCTATTCAGAGTCGGAGGTTTGAAGCTGTTGTTGTGTTCAGCACTTCTTGTCCATCATTCTCAGATCTTAAGCCCTTTGTTTTGTTAGCCGACGCTGCCTTGGCTGTCGTAAGTTACAGAGGTTCCATCATCGCAAACCCTTTCTGCTCGGTTGTTAGATCACTGCTAATGTTGGGTTGCCGTCACCGCTACAAGAGCTAGGGTGTGTATTAGCCTTGATTCTCCATTGCGAACCTCGGGTGTTGGAGTTTATTGTCGGTGGCAGAGTTCTGGTTCTTGCCGGCGCTGATTGTAATGGAAAAGGGTGGTGTTTGGCTGCAGGCATAAAGTTATCCCAACCTTGGTTTACTAAAACCGGAATAACAGAGAACTGGTTCCGATTTGGCCCGTCTGCCTAGATCCAAATAGGGTGCCCAGATCCTGCCCGTTTGACCAAATCCGGCCCTTTTGCCCAGATCCGGCCCTTCTGACCAGATCCAAATTCAGTTTTTTTTTTCCAAGTTCGGTTTTCTTCTCTCTCTTTCCTTCTCCATGGCTGCCGATTCAGACCTACTTTCTTCTGCTTCTTTCAATCCTCCTATACTTCGGTTAAGCTCAATGGCAAGAACTATATTTTATGGGCCAAGTCAATAGCTATTTTTCTGAAAGCTAAAGACTTTGGCTCTCATTTAGTTAAGGATAAGCCTAAAGATAGTGATGCAGATTTCAGTTCATGGGAACAAAGGGATGCTCAGATCATTTCCTTAATGCTGAATTGTACTGAACCCAATATCAGTTCCAACCTGCTGTATTTGGATACTGCCAAGGAGATATGGAACCGCCTCCAACAACTATATTCTGGTAATATCACCAAAATTTATGAGGTATGTAGACAATTATTTGACCTTCGGCAAGGTACTCACAGTCTTGCAGAATACTTTTCCCACTCAATGGGAATTTGTGAAGAAATGAACTTGCATCAGCCTATCACCTCTGATGTGAAGAGCATACAACAACAACATGAGGATTTTAATGATGTTCAGTTTCTCACAGGGTTATCACCCGAATATGAATTTGTTCATGCACAGATTTTGGGTAGCCCTACACTTCCCTCTCTTCCTGATATGTTCTCCAGACTCCAGCGTGCTATTCTATCTAATAGCACTTCTAGGAGTGCTTCATGTGGTGTCACTGCTCCTCCTAGCAGTGAACGTTCTGCATTAGTTGTGAACTAGGGTGGTTATCAGCCTTCTCGTGGCAGTGGCAGTCATTTTACCCGTGGACGTGGTTGTGGCAGAGGCAGAAACTCAAAACTTTACACTCACTGCAGTCTTACTAATCACACTATCAATTACTGTTGGGATCTTCATGGGAAACCGCTACCTTCTTCCTATGCACATCAAGTAACTTCTAATGAAGGGGATTCTTCTTTTTCTACCACACCAACTGCTCCACAAGTGGCTGTTGAGCCTGCTATGTCTCAACAACAGCCTTCCACCTCATCTTCTATGGTTTCCTTTGCCCAATCAGGTAGTGTACCTGCATGTCTCTTATCCTCTCGTCAGAGTCCCTGGATTCTTGACTCTGGCACATACGATCACATAACTGGTAGTTCTCATCTTTTATCTAATTTGCAGGGTGTTCTTTCCTCTCAAAGTGTTACTCTTGCTAATGGCTCCTCTACTAAAGTTTTGGGTATGGGAACCACCCAACTCACCTCTTCTATGTCCCTTTCCTCTATATTATATATTCCTCAATTCCCTTTTAATTTGATGTCCATTGGTCAAATTACTAAATCTCTTAATTGCTCCGTTACATTTTATCCCTCATGTTATATTTTTCAGGATCTCAAGACGATGAAGAAGATTCGTACGGGATATAAAGTAGGTGGCTTGTATTACTTTGATCTTGCACTATCTGCCATGGCTCTTCAATCATCTTTGTTTCCTTTCTAGTGGCATTATCATCTCGGCCACCCATCATTATCAGTTTTGCAGCGTCAAGTCCCCAGTCTTAGTTTTAATTGTGTTGAGTCCATGCCTTGTGAAGTATATCAGTTTAGTAAATATTGTCGTGTATCTTTCAAACCGAGAGCTACCAATCGTGTTGCTAGTCATTTTTAGTTAATTCATTCAGATGTATGGGGCTAATAAAACATATTTCTATTAATGGATTTCGTTATTTTGTGACTTTTACGGATGATCATTCTCGTATGACTTGGTTGTTTTTAATGAAAAATCGTTCTAAGTTATTCTCTATTTTTCAAATATTTCGCAAAGAAATAAAAACTCAATTTGGATGTTCTATTAAAGTTTTACGTTCTGACAATGCCAAAGAATATTTCTCGGACCCTTTTGAGATTTATTTTTATGTTAAAGGCATCATTCATCAATCATCTTGTACTTATACCCCTCAACAAAATGGAGTAGCGAACATAAAAATCGTCATCTCCTGAAAGAATCTCATGCCCTTTCATTCCATATGCATGTTTCCAAACGTTTTTGGAGTGATGTTGTTCTTACGGCCTGTCATCTTATTAATCGGATGCCTTCGTCAGTGTTATATAAGGGAAATCTCCTCATTCTGTTCTACTTCTCAACTCCGCATTGTTTAATCTTACTCCTCGGGTCTTTAGATAAGTGTGTTATGTCTGGGCCCGATCTTGACAAACTCGACCCCCGTGCCACTAAATGTGTTTTTCTTGGGTATTCTCGTACTCAGAAGGGTTATCGTTGCTACAGTCCTCATTTTTAGTGCTATTTCACTAGTGCTGATGTCTCCTTTTCTGAGTCTCTCTCATATTTTTTTGATTCTACTACCCCTCTCGATATTACTCTTGAGCCACCTATGCCAACTGTTCCCTCTCTAGTTCCTGATCCCACACTTCCTCGCTCCGCTGTCCCCTTACAGGTTTATACTCGACCGCCTAATTCGCTCCCTTCATCTCCTTTAGAGTCTTCGGATCTGACGCCATTTACTTTGCCTGATGATTTGTCAATTGCTCTTCGTAAGGGTACTCGGTCGTGTGTTATTGCACATCCCATTTCTAACTTTGTCTCCTACCATAATGTTTCATCCTCTTTATCTTGTTTTTTATCCAAAATGCCTGCTACTTTTGTTCCCAAGACTTTATAGGATGCTCTGTCTAATTTGGATTGGCGCAAAGCCATGGTAGATAAAATGGATGCCCTTTACCATAATCGGACTTGGGATCATGTTCCTTTACCTCCGGGCTCCAAAACGGTTTGTTATAAGTGGGTCTACACTGTTAAATACCTTCACGATGGGTCTATTGAGCGGTTGAAGGCTCATCTAGTGGCAAAAGGGTACACTCAGACTTATAGTATTGACTACGATGAGACCTTTTCTCATGTTGCTAAGATTTCTTCTATTCGGGTACTTATTTCCATTACTGCTAATTGTTACTGGCCGTTGTTTCAAGTGGATGTCAAGAATGCCTTCTCGCATGGTGACTTAGTTGAAGAACTTTATATAGAGCAACCACCTGGGTTTGTTGCTCAGGGGGAGTATCGTCACACTGTTTGTCACCTTAAAAAGGCCCTGTATGGATTGAAATAATCTCCACGGGCTTGGTTTGGAAAATTCTGAGGCTGCATTAGAATTTGGTCTTAACAGATGCCAGACCGATCATTCGATATTTCACCAGCGCACTAAAGTTGGCTTCATTTTTCTTATGGTGTATGTAGATGATATTGTGATCACGGGTGATGATTCTGAAGGCATTGCTAAGTTGAACTTGTTTCTGCAAAATCGATTCCACACTAAAGACTTAGATAACCTTAGGTATTTCTTGGGAATTGAAGTTGCTAGATCCAAGAAGGGTATAAGTTTATCTTAACGCAAATATATGTTGGACTTATTAGAAGAAATAGGTATGTTGGGTGGTCGTCCAGTTGATGCTCCTATGGATTCAAATACAAAATTGTGTCTGATGAGGGTGATCTATTTAATGACCTGGACAGATTTCGTCGTTTTGTTGGGAAATTAATTTATCTCACTATCACTCGACCTGATATTTCATATGCAGTTAGTGTTATAAGTCAGTTCATGGGAGCTCCTAGAATGCCACATTGGGTTGCTGTTCTTCGGATTATCTGATATCTCAAACAAGCTCCAGGTTTTAGGTTAGTATATAAATCAAATGGTCATTTCGGGGTGGAAAGTTTTATAGATGTTGACTAGGCTGGTTCTCCTTCAAACAGGAGATCTATTACCGGCTACTACACATTTGTAGGAGGAAATCTTGTTACATGAAAAAGTAAAAAGCAAACGGTGATAGCTCGATCTAGTGTTGAAGTTAAGTATAGGGCAATGACCCGTACCATTAGTGAGTTGACTTGGATACAACATTTTCTAAAAGAACTTGAGTTGATAGTTGAAACTCTTACTCCATTGTTCTGTGATAATCAAGTAGCTGTTCACATTGCATCAAATCATGTGTTTCATAAGAGGACCAAACATATTGAAGTTGATTGTCACTTCATTCAAGAAAAAATATTAAGTGGGAGCATCTTTATTCCATTTGTGAAGTCTGAAGATTAATTAACTGATATGTTTACCAAAGCATTGGGTTATAATCAGTTGAGGACTATTTGTTCCTAGTTAGGATTATTTGATATATACTTTTCAGCTTAAGGGGGAGTGTTAGAATATTTGGGTCATTATGTAATTACATATAGTTGGTAGAGTCATTGTATAATTAGCTGAGTCTTGTATCTTTATATAAGCCACTGTAGGCTTAGGGTTTTAGATATATGAAATACACATTTTTTGTAGCCACCATGATCTCTCTCTCCCTCTCTCATCAGTCTGAACATAATTCATTTCATTTCTGCACATTAAACGCAACATAAATGTATTTTAAAGCTACATTTGACCCACTTTGACTCCACCATTGACCACAATGTCTTCCAAACAATTTTATTTAGCTCGTGACCATTCCCGAACACTTAGTTCAGCCCAGGCCGCCGCCCACATGCCTGGCTAGAGGAAATAACCGTGAAATCAAGAGTCCAAAAAGTCTTGGAAAAGTGAGGAACCATCCCAGACACTCAAAAGGACACTTAAAACAAATCCCAAATGAAATAAATCACGTAAAAACAAGTAGGGGAAAAGGAAAATAAAAGGAAAAAGAAAACCGATCTCTACAGTACCAAATGGCATGAAGGTAAATGTCTGGATAAGTCACCATTACCCAGCAATGAAAGATTTCAGTTGCTGCCGATGACCTCGTGATAGGAATGCAAAAGAATTAATTTGGATATATAAGAAAGTGTGGAGTGCAGCAGCAGAGTTTGTAAATTAGTCTAAATTAATGACGTGACGACTATAAAAGAGGCTGAAGATAAAAAGAAGATAAAAGGATTTTTTCTATGGATATAAAACATTACCCCTTTCATATAGGATATAGCGCCTCAATGTCTCGCGGCAATGTTAGATGCTTAAAATCAAGAAAATGTTTGTTTTAATGCTACGTAAAATATATACACAGTGGGATCACTTACGGTTCTAATAGAATGAGAGCAATAAACTTTTAATTTTTACAGTCCTATTGTATGGCCTGCTATAATAATTCTGCAAATAAGTTGTAAGCTGCAATTTTTATGAGAACTTCTCAATAAAGCTTTGGTCAGGAAGATATCAGTAGTTTTTTCTTCTTGGTTTAGTTCTCAATATACTTTCCATTCACCTAAGAAATTTGAAGTCTCAAATCCACAAAAAGTGATATTGTTTGTTGTGGCCTATTCACCCAATAGGCTTCGCATAACCACAAAAAGGCACCCAAAACTACAAGTCCATAGTAAGTAAAATATCAAATTTATGAGGGTGCAGGAAATGTATACTTTTACTCCACAGCTCCAGATATATCTCTAGTTATTCCATCAGCACCGATGCTACTTCCTTCGATTCGTTATGACAACAAGTACAGAAATCTGAATCCAGTTCCATTTTCCCTTGTTCTTCCGCCAATGAAAGAGCTTTACTCTCTGCGTGCATTCCGAATCCTGCACATCTATATCAAGATCATAATATTAAGAGCATAATCCTCAAACGAATAAAAATTTAAATCTTCTAAATAATTATGTCGTCAAAATTTTCACAAAAGACTGCCCCCATAACCCATTTATTCATGTAATCCACACAATTAAAGCAACTATAGCTACTATCTTTGTTCTTCAGTTTTACCATCTATGGTTCATAGCATATTATAGCCACCACAAAGAATACTGTTAAATTTGTAGCCGGCAGGGATTTAGAACTAAATAAATGCAACACGATTAAGACAAATTGATGGATCAGAGACTACATGGGCAATCTTGGCATTCTCTTGGAGCAACATTACACTCATAAAACTTTCTTTTAATTTTTTTTTTTTTTTTTTTGACATATTACATAATTCTCCACAACTTTTTTAGAACAAGTTGGAAGATGAGATGTTGTTACAGCTACAATGCTAGTAAATACATTTAAGCGAAAAAAAAAAAAAAAAAAAAAAGGCAAGAAATCTGCATTATTATATAGTAACAAAATGAAGAATATTTAATCCAATTACTCAAATGTACACAAAGAATAATTACAAAAATAAATAAATAATCTACACATAAATGGACGTTGGACAACATTTAGGTATCTACACAACAGAGAAGTGAAGAAGTTTTGGAGCATCATCTTAGAAAGTGAATCAATAATTTCAGATATGATTCTTTCCATTTTTCACTTAAGTCTGAAATCAATTACTTGTGGTAATTTCACCTATGACAGTTGCATAAAAAAATAAAATAAAACCCTTTGCTGAATCTTTCATATAGTTCTTACAAACATACAACACAAATAACAACTGGTTTCTATGAAAAAAAAAAAAAAACCTTTATTTCCCTGTATCAAAACATTGCCAAGAACCACATCCAAAAACAAGCTCAAGACTTTCAGAATCTTCCCAGCTTGGAGAACTCAAGTATCTGATTTCTTAAAAGAGTTGGCCCATCTTAATGAACTCCTTATTGAACTTCCAAAAGTTTCTCCAAAAAGTACATTCACTGTTTAACCACATTATGCGATATATAATACCTGTAAGTAATACACTATACACAGTTCTGAAATTGAACTATATCTTGCAAAATTGTAAGAAATTAAACCATTTCTTACAAATGTTGTAAGATTATACTATTCTAAATTAGAGGAACCAATTGAAGCCTGTTCTTCCTTTTTTTGTTGCATTTTGATTGAAATATATATAGGTTCTTCTTTCATGGGATGCACCCCCTTTAAGTGCTTCTCAGTGGACTTACTCTCACTTAACCAAAAACTTCTACTTATAATAGAATCTGATGAGATCTAATAAGTAGAGAAAACTAATAATGAATTTGAAATTAAAGTTAATATAATTCAAAGGATTGACTTGTAAAACTAACCCAGGAACAGATTATTGAACACATGGATGAAAAGATAGATATGACAGAAAGGGAATGAAGAAACATGGATTCTAAATGCTCGGGCGTCTTAAATTCACTAGAAACCACCCACCATACTTCTTTTTCCAACAATGTGGTATTTCGAAGTAAATGCATGTCAAGAAAAAACAAGTCCACACACAAAATGACCACTTAAAAGAAACCCTCTTGAAAGCAAGTTCCAAAGAAAAGGGAAAAAAAAAAAAAAAATTAGCAAGAAAAAGATTTATTATATATGTTTCCCATAATTTCCCAGTGCAAATTAATGCTGAAATATATGAAAAAGTTGACATTAGTTATCATCAATTAAAACTATAAATATATTGAATGGTTGGAGTGAATTTATTTGTAAGCAAGCAAATCCTTACCTTGAACTCATGTTCAGCACGACCACATTATCTCCAACAATAGCGTCCTTAAGTGAAATGAAGTTGGGAACATAAGCAATTGCTTTAAATTTTGATTCAGCACCACAAATCTTAATATATTTAATTTTTGGTATTTCAGGGTCATAACAAATCAAAGCACATTTAAGATAATGAAACAGCAATACTTCCCCTTTCAAGTAATTTATTGGGTGATATAAACCATAAGGCCAACTCTGATCAATAGAGAACATCTTTGTCCAAGATTTCCGAACACCATATTTCTTCATAACCCATATACGAACGGGATCATAATCAGCATCACATAGGCATAGACAGCCTTCTAGCACTCCCATGGACACATTATGCTTCAAGCTCGAATCAAAGCTGATTGTGTTATAACCACGAGTCGATGGAAACAATTGCAACTTCTAGTTGTCAAAGTTAAAAGAAACTATTCTAACAGTAAAACTAAACGTCCCCAAGATTCTTCTTCACAGAGCAACCAATGGACACATCCGTCCAGATAAGTGGGACACGCTAGGTTACAATATAAAAAGGGCGCATCACCAATGCTTTTCCATGATCGTGCACCGAGTGTGTATATGTCAATCCCTCTCCTATAAGTTACCCAACGCCGTTCAAACATTCTAATCACCTTGTATTGATTAGTTCTCGGACTGAAGCCAAACCCACCATCAACAAAATATTGGGTTTTCTTGGAAGGCCTTCCTTTACCCACAGGAAGGTTTATATACTCACCCGTGATCGGATTACACACAACAACAGGTTCATTACTCGATGGTTCAGACAAGCAAAGGAAACCATTGCAAGAATTCACAATTTTGAAATTTTGATCCTTGGGTGTGACTCTGATGTCGCTTTTCCTTTTAACCCCATTTGGCAACAACCCATTTGTGCAAGCTTGATATGAAGTGTTGTTGAATCCGAGTCCTGAAGCAGAGCACAGGGCTCTGCCTTCGCAGAGAGCAGCTTGGCGAATTGGGGATCAGAGATTACAGTGCGCCAAGATTTGCAAGCGCTTAGAATACGGAGAGCTTCAGCAAAATATCGTCAATGATGGGCCTCGGAAGATAATTTCCTTCCTGGGTTGAATTTCTTTTTCCTTTTCATGGCTACTGTTCTATGATGAATCTGTGAAATAGATTTGGAGGTCAGTAACAGAGAATATAAAACCCTAGCCCCGATGACAGAATTATCTCAAAGACTAAAAAAACCTGAGTTACCGCTTAAATAAGGCAGCTTATATTGGCATATAATTAAATTACAAAAGAATCCCTGCACTACTTAATATTTTGTTCTTATATCATTTTAGTATCATAAATTGTCTGTCCCTTTCTGTCTTTTTATCTCTCGCACTCTTTGAATTCTAATTTGTTTACAATTTTCTCATATGGTCACTCAAATTAAAGTTAAAAAACAAAATTGGGGAAAAAATAATAATAAAAAAACAAAAAAATACCAGAAGTAGGGGTGGAGTCAAAATTTTTGAATTGAGTCAAATCTAAAAAAAATCAATTGTAATGTAATTTTTCTTACAGTCATGATATATGTATTGAGGAAGATATAATTTAAACCAAATAGAAAAATTCAATCAAAATAAATAAAGATATAAAAATGATAGGACAAAAGAAAACATATAGAGAAGAGAAGAATACCCATGGTTAAAAAAAGTAATTTTTAGCCGGTTTCAATTTTCTAAATATTCCGTTATTCCACTTAATAATAAAACAGTACCATTTTATTCAAATAAAATCTTTTAATAAAATACAATTATTAGGAACAAAATAGAAAAGTATGTTAATAGCTTATACAAGGATATCTATAGAAATTTTTCATTCAACGAGTTAGATTACACAAGTACTATAATTTTTCTTTCCTATACCATGTAGGATTGTAGGTTGTGAGAACTAAAAGTATTCGCAAATAGATATTATTATTTTTATTGATATTTTTGTCATTTTGTTATTTTATAATTAAAAAAAAAAAAAAAAATTCCGTGTAGACACCATATAATAAAGTAATGTTTATGAGGCCATGACATATTACGAAATATGGGTCCTATTTTTGTTGTTGATATCATGACATGTTTGATGGTATGCCAAATGTCAAGTATTTGAGAAATCGGTTGTAGAAGTTATTGATATCCAAAATAATTGTTACAAAAGTTATTAGGATTTGACATATGTGTAGGAGATGCTCTTAATTGTCTTTAAAGTATAAAATTAGGATTAGGTTGTAATGTTTTATCTTTTTTCCTATCTCTCACTCTTTGTGAAATCTAACTCCCTGTTATCACCTTTCTTTGAATTCCATTCATTGACTATTTATCTCATATTCTCTAGGATTAAAATTTAACAACAAAGCTAATTTTTTCTCCCTCATGTTCTCTCTCGAATTAAAAGTTAACAACAAAGTTTGATATTTTCATTTTAACATTTTAGCATTCACCCATTGTGATGATATCAACAACAAAAGCATTATATATAATCCTTACATTTTGTTGGTGGGACACAAATATAAAAATAAACCAACAAAAAACAAAAATAAGGAGGACACAAATAAAAATATAAACCAACAAAAATAACAAAAATAAGAAAAAAAGAATAAAGTAGTTTAAATTGAGGAGCGCGCGTTGAGCTTACATAAGGACTCGAATGTATAATTCCTCTAATTTTTTACTATTATAATCCCATTTCAAAGAATAATTTTTAGGATTCGCATGAATGGAGAATCCAGAGTATAATTTTAGATATTCTATCTTAAGACAAAGCAGATTGTAATTATATATAGTTTGAGCAGACATTACATTTTTTACTATTCATCGGAGGAATATTTGCTTTAGACACTGTGAGGCTATAAATGTGTCTGGTAAGTTTACTAAATAGATTTGCTGCCTCTTTCTCTTCTAAAATGCAAATATCGTGATACAATAGTGGGAACTCTATGACCCACTAGCAGGCGCTGCTCTAAAGTTTTTGTATTTTTATATTTATATGACTAACTCAGCAAACCAAAAACTAATCACGAAATTTATGTAGTCCGACTCAAAGCAAGTTTACATTTATTCTGAGTGAAGATGCGGTGAAAGAATTTACTGTACCAAAATTAAGTTACTGTCTTTCAGTATTCTTTTGTTATTCAACTTCTAACTCTAAACACCATTATACATAGAGTTACAAAAAAAATACTAAACAGCCTCTACAATCCACAGGCGAGAAAAAACGGGTCAAATAAATTTCCTACAAAATTCTTTCTAAAGTCGTTGCAAATCGCCTTAAGCCTTTTCTTAGTGATATCATAAGCCCCAACCAAATTTCCTTTATTCCTAACATATCTATTCATGACAATACCCTCATATCTCACGAGATTCTCCATTATCCTATTATGACAATACCCTCATATCTATTCATGACAATACCCTCATATCTACTTATTCCTATTATGCACTAAGGGCATCTCCACTCTCCTCAACCAGGTTATTCAGCATAAATCTCAACCAATCCATATTATGAGGATGTTATAAGCAAGATTCAGACTTTGAAGATACTTGATATTGAAAAGGCTACTTGAGTTGTCGATTCCGCCAGAGATTAATTCACGGCTCAAGTCGAGACCAATAACACGACCCATATTGTCGCACGTTACACCACTCCACTCGCAACAATCCATATTATGGTTCCAGAGCACCAGCTTGGTTGAATATAAAGAGTCGAATATGAGGGTATTCTTTAACTGGAGCAACAAAGTTTTGTGATGGTCTAAACATTGGGTGTATATTGGAGTGATAAAGATTGAGTGTGTGGTGATCAAGAAAAACAATGGGAATGGAGGAAACCTCATATTTAGGCAACAAGGGAAGACGAAGTGAAGAACTATTGTAGCAGGTGCTGGTTTTAAGATAGAGCTGGGGTTGACCCATGAACTATTTAGGCAACAAGTGTGATGTTTCTATTTTTCATCATTTTCTATTTTTGTTGAATTTTTGTCATTGTAAGGATATTTTTGACTTTCGTGCAGGGGTTTTGATTGAGTCCATTTACATCATATTCATTTTATTTAATGTGCTTTATGTGACTATATTATCATTGGTGCATATATAAATTTGTGGTGAGAATTAATAGGAAAAAGAAAAAAGGTAAATTTTATAAAAAAGGAGGTGGAACCCACCTTTATTGATTTTAAGGGCCAAGAAGCATTTTAGCCTCGTTTTTCTTTTCTCTCTCTCTCTTCCCGCAAGCTTCTCTCTCACCCTCTCAAATTTCTTTTTCTTTTCTCTTTTTACTTCAAAGCTACAAAGTTTGATTTCTCCCTCAATTCATGATATTTTTGAGAGCCGTTTGCGGCAAATTAAAGAGCTTGCCGAGATCTTCAATTTGATCAGAGCAAATCCTTATTTATCCAACCTTGGAATTTCGAGATTTAGGGCACAAATTTGGAGGTTTTTGCATCTTTTGAGGTAGGAGTTTCTAATTCATATTTTCTTGTGCCTTTGTAAGTCAATTCCTTGTTAATTGTTGATAATATGCTTAATTGGTATTAATTACCCCTAAAATGATTTATTTGTGGTGTGTAAAGTTCATGATTATATGTATTGGTTGATTTGTATGAAAAGCATGCCTATTGTGCTGTTAACTTGCTAAAAATGTTATGTGATAGCATGTGTAATCTTCTTAGAAATTATTGTATAGCATGTTTATTTGTGTAGTATGAAAATTCCTTATTACCATGGCATGGAAAGCATGAGACATACATGCACATTTTGGGGCATGAATGAAGGGAAATGATTTGAAACAAATGAAAAAGGGATTTTAGGGAAAAATTTTGATTAAAATGATTTTATGAAAACCCGGTCGCCGCGGAGTCACCAAAGGGCCGTGGTGTTATTATAACCTAAAGGGAATTAGGGGAATCACTCTAGCGTGGTTGAGCTATCTAGGCCCTAAATGACGCCGCGGAAGTACCAAAGGTCAGGAACAGTAACCAATCCTTCTCCCGTGTCACTGTAGAGTCACCAACAGACGGATTATATTAACAGTTTGAAAAGAGATGGATTTGGATTTGGATTTTGAAAATGGGGAGCGACATACATGGCATTGCATTTCATGTCATGAATTTTTTTCATTAAGACTTGAGCTTGTGGTGTTTTTTTCTTTTCTTTTCTTTTCTTTTCTTTTTTTTTTTTTTTTTTTTTTTTTTTTTTTTTTCTCTGGTAAAGCATGATCCTATTTTCTATATCTCTATTCTTTGTCTGGATTCACGAGGTCACAAGAGGTGTATCTCAGGCACTACCTACTGAGCAATTTGCTCACCCCATTACATTTAACATTTTTCAGGGCACGGTAAAGAAGTGGCGGACAACAATCCATCACCAGCTTAGTAAAGTTGACGGATTTGAAAATCTTTGTATTTGAAGCATATATTAACCCTTTTTGTTGTAATTAATATTAGGGAACATTTTGTATCATCTACATGGTTGGAAATGGTCTTGAGACCATTCATTTATACTTTGTGATCTCATCATGATTTCAATATCCATGTAAGGCTTTGAGGCCATATTTTTTATATATGATGTTTTCCTTAATTTTAATGGTGTATCAGACTCATGTATGGCCTTATTTGATTTTAGTACTACTTAGTTGTGTTAGTTTTATTATCAAATAGAAGAATTGGGACAGGTTTGGGCTTTGTGTAAGGTCACCAAAGGACTAAAGTGATGGCAAGGAGCATAAGACTTCAATTTTAGGCTGTTTGGGGCGATTTTGGGGTTCTGGGCATCTTGAATCGGTTCAGCCCCATTAAACCGGTTCAAGGGGGGACCTTGGGTTCAAGAATGAGCATTCTGTCCATCTTGAATTGGTTCAGCCCCACTGAATTGGTTCAAGTCCCCCAGTGCACTGTTTTGCCTTATTCAATTGATAGCTTGGAACGTTTGACTTCGGACGGTCATAACTTCTTCGTTCCGAACCTAAATAGGGTCATTCTTGTGTCCATTTTCAATAATTTTGAGTTAGATTTCCAATGATACCAACCTCATCCTCAAGTTCCATTCACGTTGGGAGTTATGGTCATTTTAGTGGGACAGTGTCGGAATTTCCTTTGAATCGGGAAATGGTACTTTTGGAGATTCTTATCCGATGATCATAGAACTTCACCAATCATCACAGAATGTCTAGAATAATTGTTTTAGACCTTATTTGACTATTTTATGGTCTTATTATCCTCTCACATTGTAAAATGACCATTTTACCCCTAGTGTGTCCTCGGGTTCGGGTAAGGAACCGGTTAGTGATCCGGACCCCCGGTTTGGGTCGTTACAAAGTTGGTATCAGAGCAACGGTTCAAAAACCATTAGGATAATAGGTAGAGGCCTACCTAGTGTTATGTAGTTTGCATGGTCTATGTGCTTATTTGCTAAGGTGTTATTGTTTGATAAGCATGCTTAACTATTTACTCGCCTATATGCTTGTATTCTTATGATGATATGTTTCTTGCATAGTTTTGCATGTTAAGTGTTAGTATAATATCATTTATGTAGATTCATCCTCAGTTAGACCTTAGTGTCATTAGTATTGAACCGTTTTCTCGTTTTATAGCACGATGCCACTACGAAAGGAACCAAGGGAAGTTGGCCCTAGGCCGATAAGGGGTGATGTTGGTGACAGCTCTAGCTCCAATTCAGCGGAGCGAGATGAAGAGGATACACTTCTTAGGGATTTGATTCCCTCGAGTGGTGTTTCCATTAGGAGGGATGATGTTGAGATGCCCATTGAAGAGGGTGAAGGCTTGACGGAACTGGTACTGAACCGTTTGCTGCAAAGTGCCTTAAGAGCTACAATTGCTACTCTTCCTCAATCGGTACCGCAACTAGTACCACAACCGGTAGTTCAGGTAGAGGAGACGCCAGCATAGAAGCATCTCAAGTTGATTACAGGGTTTTCTAAGTTGTTGCCAGTGATGTTTGAGGGTGGTGCGAACCCGATGGAAGCGGACGACTACATGGACCAAGTGGAAACCCACTTGACTTCTATGGATGTGACGGATGATCATGTGAAAATCATCCTAGCCACTTACAAGTTTTCTAAGGATGCTAAGCTTTGGTGGAAGTCAGTCACCAATCAGTATAAGGTGGAAGATATGAGTTGGCAGATGTTCAAGGAACTGTTTTACGAGAAGTATTTTCTGGTTACCAAGAGATTGGAGCTAAGGGATCAGTTTAATGGCCTTATCCAAGGCAATATGTCGGTGACAGAATACAAGAATAAGTTCACTTCTCTTTCTCGCTTTGTTCCAGAGATGATGAGCAATGAAGTTAATAAGACTTGGAACTTTATTTCCGGTCTTCATTACCAAATGAGGCCGTTGATAACGGCACAGTACCTCAAAGTTTATTCGAAGGCAGTGGAAAAGGCTTTAATACTTGAGGGGGAGGCTAAAGACATAAATGCTGGAAATGAACAGTGAAAGCAGAAGAGGAATGCAGGATTATCCTCAGAGGGACCTTCATGGAAGAGGAATAGGGGTAGTTCATCTCAGTTTTGGGGGCAGCAGTCTACACGATCCGCTCCTACTACTCCTATGCCAACTGGATCTGATAAGAGTGGAGTTGTATGTTATCAGTGTTAGCATCCTAGACATTACAAGTCCAATTGTCCTATGAGATCGTCTTCAGTTTCTTCAGCTTCAAAAGCTTGTTATGGGTGTGGCCAGGGTATTTGATTCGAGACTGTCCTAATCGGGGAGCAGGCACCGGTAGTGACAGAAGGTCACAGTAGAGGCCGTCATAGTCGGCTACAGCTCAGTCAGGTTTCAGACCACCGCCACCACCACAGCTTGCCATACCTTCACAGGGATCATGACCAACTAGGAGGGATACTCCTACTATGTCAATACAATAGTCAGGTGTTCAAGTTGGCAGTTCTCAGGCACAGGCACCACATGGGCGTGTCTTTATACTTGCTCAGACAGATGCATCTTTAGGTCCATTAGTTCTTTGAGGTATATTTTCAATATTTGGTTCTTGGCCCATGTTTTATTTGACTCTGGTGCATCTTATTCCTTCATATCATTATCATTTGCACTTGCATCGAGGTTAGAGGTCAGTTATATGGATTGGGTGTATCAGTTGATACGCCAGTTGGGATTTCGGTGTCTTTGAGTAGAGTTTTGAGGGATTGCTCCATCGTGATAGCCGAACGGACTTTTGTGTTTGCCTTATCCTCCTTGAAATGACTGGTTTTGATGTCATTCTCAGGATGGATTGGTTAGCTTCATTTTGTGCTATGATCGATTGTTTCAGAGGAAGAGTCACAGTTTGCACTCCCGAAAGGGATTATTTCTTTTTCATGGGAGATCAAAGTGATTCCTAACCTTCATCATTGTATGGGATTCGTGGAAGGGACCGTGGTGATTATTTCTTGGCTAGTCTTTTAGCCGAGGAAGTTAATTGACGAGCCTTTTTCTATGTGATAGAAAATTGACTTTTTAATGTGAGAGGTCACTTCGCAAGATCAAAATATGATTGTGGTTTAGGAAGCCTTTAAAAGTCAAATTTACATTTATAAAACCACTACTACAACTAATGAAGTATAATGAGTAGGGACCGTCCATAGAGATTATACGTGTTGGAATTTAATTTCGACTCTAATGTACCAATTGATTGCAAAAGAGAGAGATTGGTTGATTAAACTAGAAATTAATTAATTAAAATACAAGTAACATAAAACTAAGTTGAGATAGGGATTTAAGAGATAAGAAGTGAGGTCTTGGGGTCTATTGGAATTGCCACCAAGCTTGTTCAGAAAACCACACACTTTCAACTAATTTAGGGAAAACATTCTTGTGAACAAAATGTAACTACCAATTGCAATATTAAGCATGGACCATCAAATTAAAGAATGGATTGTCTACCTAACCGACAAATAAACTAAATATAGCACAACCCATCAATTCTAAGCATGACTCATCAAATTAGTCATAATTGTAGCACACATCAATCTAGAGAATCATGGAATTTGCAATAATAAGCATTAGAATATCAAATCAAGTAAAGATTGTTTACCTACCTACAAGCATGAATTAAATTATAGAACAACCCATCAAGCATAAGTATAATCCATCAAATTAATTGACAAACCCATTTAATGAATACCATGCATAGTCATCACTAGATCTTTAATTAATCACACATACACATGCAACCAATATAGAGAAACTAGTGTAGAGATTAATTCCTAAATAATCACACATAAGATAATATGTAATCATAAAGAGAATCAATAGGAAGAATTAAACCATATGAATCACGTAAGACATAATTCTCAATTTAATCACATATAGACATGTACATAAATTAGAGAATTAATAAGAAGAATTAAACCATATAAATCATAGAAATATACCGAGATTCATTAAATTCACAAGACTAGAACACTAATCACAAGATATTATTCCCCAAAAAGTATGAAAAAGATAGAGGTTTAGATTATAAACTTGGGGCTCATCCAAGCCCCAAGGAGAAGTCTAGCCAATCATGGAGGAGGTGGGTGTGATCTTGGAACCCTCAATGGCAATCCCCAAACATGGCTGTATCTTCTTCCTCTTCTTCTTTGTTGAATTCTAGAGAGAGTGTGTGTATAGATATTGAGATGTGTTCTTGGAGCCTCCACTCTTCTCTTTTCTTCTAACCCTAATTTTTAACTTTTCTAGAGAGAGAAAATAAAAATTACAATGTAAAAATAAAATGATAAAAAACTCTCTTACAAAATGGTTCAACTCCCTTTAAATACAAGGTCCTTTCCTTAGTCACTAAGTCAGAAATACAACCCAAAAATATCTAATCTCGCAACTATGTGGTAGGTGGAGTTCGGGCACGCGGGAATAAGACAGATCGCAACCAGCACATTTTCGATCGATCAGACTTTTCTTCGATTGATCAGAGTTCGATCAATCTCACTTTTCTCTGATCGATCTCATTTTTCTGCGATCGATCTCACTTTTTTGCGATATATCTCACTTGGCAGTTTTCAGCATCAGCTTTCTTTTTTCTCCAGATCAGCCTCCTTTTTGCTTTAGATTCTCACCAAGACTTAGTTTGACCCCAAAAAGACCTTGAGAAGCCATTTTTAGCCTGTTTTAACTTTATTGACCTAAAAAGGGAAATAACATGAAATTAGTCTAAAACGGGAAAATAAAATAGATAAAAGTCCTAGAACACTCAAGCTTAAAGGGTTTAAATGTGCACTTTTCAACGCTCATTAATGATGTTGTGGAAAAGAATTATCTGGCACTTGTTCATGACTTCTTGGATGTTTTTCCGGAAGACTTAACAGAGTTGTCACCACATCAAAAAATGGAGTTCACTATTGATTTGATGCCCGGTACCACGCCAATTTCCATGGCACCGTATCATATGGCACCAGTTGAGTTGGAAGAATTGAAGAAGCAGCTTGATGACTTAAGGATGAAAGGTTTCATCTGACCGAGTGTGTCACCGTGGGGCGTACCGATCTTGTTTGCTAAGAAGAAAGATGGTTCTTTGAGATTGTGCATTGATTACCGAAAGTTGAATTATGCCACCATCAAGAATAATTATCATTTACCAAGGATAGATGATTTGTTTGACCAGTTGAAGGGAGCTAGCTGTTTTTTGAAGATTGACTTAAGGTCAGGCTATTATAAATTACAGGTTAGGGATGTGGATATCCCACAGATGGCATTTCGTACACGATATAGACATTATGAGTTCCTTGTTATGCCCTTTGGTTTGACTAATGCGCCAGCGGCATTCGTGGACTTGATAAACCGCGTCTTTCACGATTACCTGGAACAGTTTTTTATGGTTTTCATGGATGACATTCTTGTGTATTCATGGACTCGAGAGGAGCACGAGATCTGTGACGGCCCAAGTTTTTCAACCCGGTGCGTCAGTGATGACCCGAAAGTTGACCCGATAACGGATCCTAATTACGGAAGCAAAAGATAAAACCAAGGACTCTAGAGATAGAATTCATCCCTAAGACACCAATGTGACCTTCCATGAGGTCACGGAACTTAAAGAGAACAAAAGACCAAGCGAGAGTCAAAATGGGCAAAATTCGTTAGTCAAGGGCAAAATGGTCAATTCACAAATAAAAAGGGAAATTGGCTCTAAACAAGTCAAACAAGATGAATACAACCTAATCTCACCATTTCACAACATTCCAAGAAGTTCTGAGAACTTTGGCTAAGAATCCCACAAAAATGCCTTTTCCCGGTTTAAGCGAAAACTGATACTAGCTCACTAGAACATGAATAACTCCCACTATGATTTGAATCTGAGAATGGAATTGGTACCATTGGAAAGCTGACTCAAAATTCTTGAGTTTAAGCTCAAGAATCACTCTATTTGGACTAGGAATAAAGGAGTTATGACCTTTTAAAGTTGGAACTTCAGTGCTGAAACATAACAGGGAGGCTATGTGTATGCAAGTTATTTTGGTTGACCGAAATGGAGTTTCGGATGATCGAACTAGACAAAAATTTTGTTGAAAACATATTTTTGAGGGGAGGTCATTTCGGTAGACCGAAATAAGCCATCGGTCGACCGAAATGGACCAAAACAGTGAAAAAGGCTACTGGAATGAGTGATTTACTGTACAAAGAAATTTTCAAAAGCCATCGGTCGACCAAAACACCTCGAAAAGATGCTAAAGGACCTGCTATATGCCAAATGTGATAAGATTCAACCCATGCTTCAAATCCCCTCATGAACTGGTTCAAAAATGAAGGTTTAAAACTGGTTTTCAATGAGATTTGAGTATGTGAACATATCAACAACATTAATATGAATAATTGAGTGTATTACAATGACTTATGGCCTAATACATGTTAAAAAGTTCATATGCCAAACCTCCAAAGTTGGTTAAAATACATTTTAAAGCAAAAGTTTGATACCAAGTGAATACAAGTACAAAAGTAAACATGCTTGGCCCTTGGCCTCATTACATTTATGCTTATAATGTCAAAAGTAAATACTTAAGTTATCATTACACATCAAGGAAGCTATATTAGCTTCTAAAATACCATACACCCATGGTATACAAAATATAACTTCAAAAGTAAAGCATGCTAAATATTTGCATGTTAATATACAAAATTGCTTTAAATTGCTCATAAGCCTCTAAGGATGATGAACATCCAAGAACATAGTCTCCTTACCTATAAAACAACCCAAACTACTAGGGTGAGTAATCAAGTTACTCGTAGGAAGAAGCATATGTGTATACCCTAAAGTTTCAATATCATTGCAAGATCAATATAGATGAATACAAGGGAGCATTCCACTTAATATCTATGTTCAAGGTATCCTAAGGGATCATCTTAATCTAACTTAAATGTTTCTTAGCAACACAATATCAATGTGGATGTACTTAACAACATCAAATCGCATGAAACAAAAATTATAAGTTACAATTTAAACATTGCTTGTCAACTTGGAATTGAACGCAAAATCAAAAAGTGGAAACCTTGGACATTTAAGCTCGGAATTCTGCCGAGACCTCAATGGTTGTTCTGGGCATTAACCTGTTGGGAAGACCACCCTAGTGCGCACTATCTCAATTGGGGAGAACTCATACCTCCTGCACTAGAGCTAAACTCTAGCCATATCACTTGTAACAATGTCCCAAGATAATCCAAAATCATAATCAAGTTCAAAACTCATACACTCGCTATAACATATTAGGGTTTCATTAACGCTTTTAAAAAAATTGCTGGTGTTGAGTACTAATTACCAGCACTTCTAAAAAAGCACTGGTGTTGAGTCAACACCAGCGTTTCTAAAAAAGGTGCTGGTGTTAAGTACTAATTACCAACGCTTTTTAAACAAACGCTGGTAAGTGCGAAATGTAGTGCGGGAAAATTTGGCGCTCTAATATTATTTCAATTTATTTCTAACTCTACCAATTTCATCCAAGCCCTAGTTTCTCTTCAGCCTCCCCAATCGTCTTTATCTCTATTCTCGGTCTCAACTCTGAACTTACCCCCCTCTCTCTCTGGAACTCCCCAATCGCCTCAATCTCTCTCTCTGCAACTCCCCAATTACCTCCATCTCTATTCTCGGTCTCAACTCTGAACTTGCGCCCCCCTCTTTCTCTACAACTCCCTAATCGTGATGATACGTGCCCCTCCTCCTCAACCACCCCTCTCTCTTAGCAACTCTGCCTCCAATCTCTCTATCACTTTTCTCACTTTCTCTCTCTACGTACCTATACCATACCAGTCTTGATTGATCAGAATGGTGAAGCTTGTATTGGCCCGGGAGAGTCGGATATACGGACCCCAGCTGGCTCGAAACCGGTTCAAGTACATGAACGCCGGCCTATACTGTGGCTTCGCGGCTCAGCTCTCCAGCGAGCCGAAATCGGGTTTGGTTCTTCTACTTATAGGCTTAGCCTTCATAATCTTTGTGAACGTTCATGATCTCCTTGCTCATCTCACCGGCATCAATTACCGGTTGCCGTTGATGGAATTCAACGTCCAACTCGGCCTCGTCGAGTTCGCCGTCCCCGTGGTTCAGATTACAGCTACACTTCTCTATTTCTTAGGGATTCTTTTTATTTTCATTCAGGTATGTTCTTGTTTGTTGTAATTGTGTCGAAAAATCTCTCTCTTGGTGTTATGTTGATGATTATGTTCATTGGACATTTTGATTTACACTTCTATATATATATAAATTTCTAATTGTGGAAGAATTGTCCATGGGGTTGCCGTATGTATCATTTATTTTTTTAAAATTCATTATTGCCCATGTTGTATCTATATATTCTTTATTTTTTATGCGCAAGCTATTTTGTATTCGAGAAGGTTTGGTAATGGGTTTAATACATTATTAATCATGGACTCATAATGTTCTTAGTCTCTTTTATTTTTGTACATTTTTGCATACATTGATGTCTTTCTCATCTCTGAAATATCAAAATTGGAGTAGTCCTTGCTTATAAAAACTTTTGGGCTGAGCTCATTTTTTATTCTAATGCTTCAGGAGCAGAAAATAAAAGAGGGTTAGTACATGATGGGTCTAAAAGATGAGATATTCTATTTTTCTTGGTTTATTACATACGATTTGCAGGTAATTTTTGCATTATTGTTGTTAAAATGAGTTAGTACTAGCATACTGTTTTCTGTATGACCAATGTTTAAGGTGGAGTTTTTTTTTTTTTTTTTTTTTTTTTCTTTTATTTATTTTTTATTATATATATTTTTTAATTTCTGCAATTCTGTTTTAGCTTTCTGTTATTCTAATTTTTAGTTTCGTTTATGGACAAGGAATGTTATATAACTTTTTTGGGTTTTCTGAACTGTTATATTGCCATAGAAGTAAGGCACTTCCATTTTGTACTACTCGGTTTTTCATTAAGATTAGTTTCTTTAAGAAAATGATGTATGTGGTGCAGGTGTCACTCTTGAAGATCTTCACACTGAAGATCTTAGTCAAGAAGTTAGAGGGTTCATATTCTCTAAAATTCTTGTTTGTTTGTTCCTGAAAAAGTCACTTTACTTTTACCCAAATTATGATACCACGTTACAGTGGCTTTGATGCTTTAGTTGTTTTTATTACTACTTAAATTGCTGATCCTTTATCTGAAAACATTTGAATTTTTTACTATCTAAATATTCTGTATCACATTTTAGTGAAACATAGTTGTGACTTGTGACCCATAATTGCTATTGTTTTCCAAGTAGGAGAATCTTCTTGTCTGAAATTAAATTCTGAAGAAACTGCAAAATGTCGTTTCATCATCATACACCATGTCTTCATCTTGTATCTCCCTCTCTCCCTGTCTCTTTATATACATATTGCTTGGTCTATACAACCCTAACCTCACAATGGGAAAATTAAATATTAGAATATGAAATCTTACTTGGTTATAAGCAGCAGATTTAATCCTAATACTGCTTGCTAGTGGGCTATGAAAAGTATTAAGTCTAATCCAAATGTGAGCAATTTGATTCCAAACAAAATGTTCTAAGAAATCTCATCCCAGTTTAAGAAAATTAGAAAGACAAGTGACTTGTGTAAGGTCAAAATTTCTTAACTGTGATGAAAAATTGTTTATTTTTTAATTTTTAATTATGCTGATAATCGATTGTGATGAGCACATAGGATACAATGACAGATTATTTTTCTTTTGATAAGTAAGATAGAGTGACAGGATATGATATTATGAAGTTCTAACAAAATTTGTGCATTGAGAAGACTTTTCCTCTTAGATCCTGACTGCAGTTTATCACCTACTCTGTAAAGGATAAACCATCTAGAACACAAAGATTGATTAATCCCAACACTTGAGCTTCTTGAGTACCTTCTAACAAAGATAAATTTCAGCCTTAAAAGCATACCCACTATGACTTGCCTTAAGTGAAAGTATTGTTCTTTTTGTGAACCTTCATGACACCTAGTATGCTCTCCTACTTCTTTTGTTTGAAGGCTTTCTAGTTTGGCTGCAAGAGTTGAGTAATTGTAAATTAAGGTAGGTAGGGATATGCTAGTAAGAGATCTAGATTACAGTGATTTTATTCCCAGTTAAATGTATACCTTCTCTCACCCTTCTAAGTACTTGGCACTTTTTCTGCTACTGGACCCCAAAAAAGAATTGCCCCATCTTTTTGTGTAGCTGGTACTAGGTTTTCTTCGAATGATCTTGGTGTTATATATTACTAATCATATGGATGTAGGGTTTCCAGTTTTGTAGATAACATCGTAAAAGGATCTTTTTGCGTTTTAAGATACTAAAAATTATAACTCAACAGACCAGATCCTAACTACTCTGGATTGGAATGTCATTTTTCTTTCCTTTCCAGGTTCAACTTACATAAGAATAATGAAAGGTTTCTTGTAGGCTGCCTTTCTCCTTTGTCTCAGCTCTGGGGACTACCTTACACACAACCTCCTTGTAGTTCACGGGTTTTCTTATGCACGAAAGAGATAGAAGCCTAGAATTAAAATTTCAACTATCTTATAGATTGGCATCTGATTAAGTAACCTAGATACACTAAACTCTTATGAGTAAAATACGTCTTCATAGTAGAGCTTTCGTGTTTTGATAACCAATGGTGGTTTTGGAGGTGGATGCAATGTACAATCGTTGGCGTAGTAATATAAATGAGGTGTGTTTATCTTTCACATGGATGTATTCAATTCTATTATTTACTTTAGATGGCTTTATACACTAATTTGCATTCTTTTAAAAAAAATGTTTCTATCTTTTTACTTTGGTGTTGTAGATTTTGATGCCAGTATTCCCTGGGCAACTACGTTATATTCGTAAAAACTTGTTCCATACAGTTTTTGTTGTGGATCCTGCATCCATTTGTGGACTTGAGGCAAGTTTTATTGTGTAAAAAGTGACGTCAGTTCGTTGTATGTGCATTATACTATTATCAGAATTACTTATCTAATTTTAGTTTCATTGTCTTTTGCAGGCAATTGACACGATTATTTCTTTGTACGAGAATAGTTTTCCTATGAGATTTGGGGTGATATTGTACTCAACAAAGTTTATCAAGAAGATTGAATCGAACAGTGAAGAACTCTTATTAGATCCTGTGGAAAATGACAGTGGGACAGAGGAAGATGTGTCCAGTTTGGTACTTCTTTCTATCTTATTGTACCGTCTTTTTACATCTCAAACATATCTAGGCTAAAGTTGATAAATTTGTACAATACGTTATATGCATTTAAGGAGAATGCCTTAGATAATCCAGACGGATGCATCTTCTGAGTTCGGCTTGAACTACATCATTTTAAATGGAAATATGTTTTACTACTCCTAACAGTTTTACTTAAACCTCATAAGAGTACAAATTTTTGTTATAGTAATTTGAAAATCAGATTTTTAACGAATCAGTTATAGAAAAGGTTTCTGTTCTATCATCTAGGTTGTAGTAACAAGTTCTACCTTTTTTTTAGGAAACCAGTGACTCACCATAGTTGATAAATAGCATAGATCCAGACAAAAACAAAATACAAAACATGCATTGTCTCTTCAAATCACTAATTACTATAGATTATTTGCAAAATTAATAATAATTATAGTTCCCACAACTAATTTTAATCCTTTGGAGAATTATTATTGTAAATGCTATGATTAACCACATTATCATTCTTTTAGGGAAATCTTGTTTCATATTGTTACTAGTAGAAAATCTTTCACACACACACACACACACACACACACACACACACACACGTTGTTTATCTCCCAAATTCTCTTCATATGAGTGATTATTCTTAGGTTCTAACGAACATGACTTTGCTGCTAGTATTTCTTATAGCAGTTTAGCAGAACTCGGAAATTACTGTCTTATAAATAATTTAGTATGTAAAAGGTTTTGTGCATGTTCTTGTATTGTATATATTCATTTTCTAGTCATGATGCCAATTTAGTTAAGGTTATGAACTTTAATTTCTCTTATATGTTAAATTTTCATTTATTATAATGTGCGCTTAATGAATTTATAAAAAATGTAGGGTAATTCAAATCAAATGGGCAAGAAGAGTTGTTAAAGTTGAAGTTGAAGCTGAAGATGGGGTTGTGGCTGTGCTTTCAGCATTTCCTTTGCCTTGGATGGATTCTTTTTAAAAAACTTGTACTACATTTGTCAAAAATTCTTAATTCTTTTTTTGTCACATTTAGTAGATCTAGACAATTTGGATGGTATTTTCATATTGGCAGGTTAACTTGTGGTTGTATTAGTAGACATTTTTTGAGTTTTGGTTGACATTTACCAGCTTTATCTATTAGTAAACAATTTCAATGGTATTTTTCATATTGGCAGCAGGTTAACTTATGGTTGTAATATGTAAAAACAATTTGGATGGTACTTTTATATTGCCAACTTGTGTTATATTGGATGACATAACTAAGACATAACCAAGACATTTTTCAAAAACAATAAAGGGCAAAAAATAAAAAATAAAAATGTGCCTAAAGAAGCGCTGCCAAAGAGGGAAAAAAAAAAAATAATAAATAAATAAAATGACCTTTTACCAGTGCTTCTTAAAAAAGCGCTGGTAAAGACCCTATACCAGCGTTTATTAAAAAAGCGCTGGTAAATACCTTATACCAACGCTTCTCAAAAAGCGTTGGTAAAGGGTCATCACCAGCGTTTTTGAAAAAGCGCTGGTAAAGCCTATCGACGCTTGATTTACTCGCGCTTTTTCAAAAGTGCTGGTAAAATGCTGGTAATTGAATTACTAGCATTTTTTGGGACTTTTACCAGCGTTTTGGAGTGTTGGTAAAAGCCATAACTATTGTAGTGACTATAATTAAGGTATATATACCACCTTCCAGGCACAAGTATTTTGAAACCACACAAATCATGTCTTAGGGTTTCAAATCTAGAATGACATAATGAATGACAAGTCTTTAACATGATATAATGTGTAATACAATACCACCAACTTATCAATTTGAATCATGCCTCAACAATAAGCTTTACATACTAGATTACAATATTATAGCATTAAGCTTCTAAAATAATTACAATTACCAATAGTAATCAACTAAAATGTAGAATTATCATCATAATAGCATACTAATTCAAATCAATAAGAATTCTATACAACATTAATAATCCTATACAAGATACATACACAACATGCATGCTTAAATCAATAAACTCTAAGTCAATCATAAGGATTTCCTATAATATGCATGACTATCATATTAAAAGTCTGTACACAATATATATTAAACCCAAAGGATTATAAAATATTTAAAATATAAACATACTACTACCCCTACCTCAATAGAGAATTGAATCTCTATAATCTAAGCAACCAAGCTTAAAAATGGAAAACAAGTTTAGGGTTTTGAAGAGGAGAACAAGAGGAAACTTTTGTCTGTCAAGGTTTATGGTCTAAAGTAAGTGGAAGGAAGCCAAAATGAATAAATAAGTTATTAACCAAGCTTTTCTCCTATGGTGGCTAGGTTAGGGTTCTTGAGAGTAATGAGAGTGAAGAAGATAATATGAAATATGGTGAGTGGAGGATCTAGTATTCCTCCACTCACTCTATGCTTTTACACTACCTCACACACACACACAATGCAAGACTTAATTTGATGCCTACACTTGTCACTAATCCATGGCTCCTTCCAAGACTTAATCCTAAGCCTACACTTGTCAATTATTCAAGTCAACAAGTGCACCTATCCTAGACCAACAAGTAGGTGAATCTCCACCCTCCAAATGTCAAGAGATCATACTTCCAAGTCACTCCACCCCAATGCCAACAAGTGGCACCATGAGAATGTGACACTTATCACATTTTCCAAAAATTGCAAAAAATCATTTTTCAAAATATCTTCCAAATTAAATTACAAAAAGGTCCCTATGACGAAAAATAATTACTTTACATAATTACACTAAAACTCCAAAAATCAAGAATATTTCCAAAAGTTATGCATCCATGCCCCTTTATGGAAAAAGTAAGCAACTAGCATGCTTTTCTACTAAAGTAAAAACACCAATATCATGAAAATCAAATATCATGGATGCATGCAAAGCCGGAATCAAATTCGAGCACAAAAAAGTGAGGTTATGTAAGGAAAAATTATAAACGGGAAAAAAGACGGAATAGGGAAAAGACAAAATAGGAAAAAGACGAAAAAAGAAAATCACCGAAAAAGGAAAGTGAGGAAAATGATCGAGTCATTACAAGATCCATTTGAGCACTGTTTTGCAAATTTTGCAGGAGCACCACTTGTATGCCAAATATAAGAAGTGTGAGTTTTGGCTACAAGAGGTGAAGTTTTTGGGGCATACTGTCTCGGAAGGTGGAGTGTCCGTGGTTCTATCAAAGATTGAAGTAGTTTTGAACTGGGAGCAACCCATGAATGTTTTTGAGATCCGAAGTTTTCTTGGTCTAGCGGGCTATTACCGTAGATTTGTGAAGGATTTTTCCCGTCTTGCCGCTCCTATGACTAGATTGACCCGAAAGGGGATCAAGTTCGTATGGAATGAAGCATATGAGTTTTCCTTCGAAGAATTGAAGAGAAGGTTGACTAAGGCTCCAGTGTTGGTGATACGCAAGTGTGGCTTAGGTTATGTGATTTATTGTGACGCTTCACATGATGGTTTGGGTTGTGTACTGATGCAGTATGGTAAAGTAGTGGCTTATGGGTCTTGACAGTTGAAGACTCATGAGTATAACTACCCTGACTTAGAGTTGGTGGCGGTTGTGTTTGCCTTGAAGTGCTGAAGACACTATCTGTATGGTGAGAGATTCGAGGTGCTCTCGAATCACAAGAGGCTCAAGTACCTTTTCTCCCAAAAGGACTTGAACAACAGATAGAGGTGATGGGTAGAGTTCTTGGAAGATTATAATTTTGACTTACAGTATCATCCGGGCAAGGCAAATGTTGTAGCTGATGCCAAAAGCCAGAAATCTCATGGAACTTTGGCTGGATTAGCCATCCGGAGTGGAAGATGCTTGAAGACTTAGCAGAGTTAGGGTTATGTTGCTTTGACGATGACATTTGCAGTGAGTCAGCATTCTTGTTTAGTCTTGTGGCTCAGCCTATTCTTATTGAACGAGTGATTGAGTCACAGAGACAGGATCTGGATTTGGATGCCATTCACACTTTGATCTCTAATGGTGAGACAATGAGAGATTGGACCTTGCATGCAGATGGAGGTCTACAGTTCAAAAGTCTATTGGTTGTTCCCACAATTTGTCGAGAGGACGTCTTATGGGAATTTCATACTTCTCACTTTGCAGTTCATCCAGGTGGTACCAAAATGTATCACAATTTGAGACGTCAGTATTGGTATAATGGAATTAAGAAGGATGTTGCACAGTTTGTGGCTAGATGCCTTACTTGTAAGCAAGTGAAGGCCGAACATCAGAAACCAGCCTGTATGGTGCAACTATTGCCTGTAGCGCAGTGGAAATGGGAACATATTGCTATGGATTTTGTGACGGGTCTTCCAAAGTCTCGGAGGGGCAATGAAGCCGTATGGGTCATTATTGATAGATTAACCAAAACAATTCACTTTTTGCCTATTAAGGCAACAGATGACGCAGAGGCACTTGGCATTCTACATGTGAAAGAGATTGTTAGGTTGCATAGGTTCTAGTAACCATTGTTTCAGATAGGGATGCCAAGTTTACTTCAAAGTTCTGGGAAGGACTTTAAGCAGCGTTTGGTTCATCGTTGCACCTTAGTACAACATTCCATCCCTAGACGGACGGCCAGTCGGAGCGTACCTTCCAGATCTCGGAAGATATGCTTCGAGCATGTGTGCTTGATTTGGGAGGTTGTTGGGAGGATCACCTTCCACTTATTGATTTTGCCTACAACAACAGTTACCAGGCGAGATTGAGATGGCTCCATTTGAAGCGTTGTATGGCAGACCATATATGTCTCCTGTTTGTTGGACTGAGGTAGGCGAGATAGCCGCCTTAGGACCAGACATTGTGCTCGAGACTATTGAGAAGATTAAGTTGATTAGATAGAGGTTGCTCACAGCTCAGAGCCGACAGAAGAGCTATGTGGACAAGCGGAGACGGCCGCTATCCTTTGAGGTGGGAGATCATATTTTTCTACGAGTTTCTCCATGGAAGGGTTTGATTAGGTTAGAAAAGAATGGCAAGTTATCACCACGATTCATTGAACCGTTTGAGATTTTGGACCATTTAGGAGAGGTTGCCTACAGACTTGTTTTACCACCGCAGATGGACAAAATTCATAATGTTTTTCATATGTCGATGTTACGAAAGTATGAACCAGATCCATCTCATGTTTTGGATTGGGTTGATGTGGACGTTGATGAGGATGTCTCCTATAAAGAGGGACCAGTTCAGATCCTTGACACACAGTAGAAGGTGTTAAGGGATAAGACAATACCGTTAGTGAAGGTTTTTTGGAGGCACCACAGAGTCGATGAGGCTACTTGGGAGCTTGAATAGGAGGTTCGCTCCAAGTATCCAGCATTGTTCTCTCCCACAGGTATCATTTCGGGGATGAAATCCTTTTAAGTTGGGGAGATTGTAATGTTTTCATTTTTCGACATTTTCCATTTTTCCTAAATTTTTGTCATTGTAAGGGTATTTTTGTCTTTTGCTGTTTTGCATACTAGACACTGTGGAGTGTGCCGATTGTGTCTGAGTGTTGTTTGGGCATTTCATTGAGTTCAGGATTCTTTGAAATGCAAGGTTTGTCATTTGTGCATTTTTTCATTTTTTGGGCCTGACGGTCCCGTGTGGGACCCGCTATCGAAATTGTTACGTGCTGGGGTTTTGGTTGGGTCCATTTGCATCATGTTCATTTTATTTAATGTGCTTGATGTGACTATATTATAGTTAGTGCACATATAAATTTGTGGTGAGAATTAATAGGAAAAATAAAAAAGGTAAATTTTATAAAAAAAGAGGTGGGACCCACCATTATTGATTTTAAAGGCCAAGAGGCATTTTAGCCTTATTTTTCTTTTTTTTTCTCTATCTCTCTCTCTCTTCCTGCAAGCTTCTCTCTCACCCTCTCAAATTTCTTTTCCTTTTTTTATTTATTTTTTATTTTTTTATTTTTTTATTTCAAAGTTTGATTTCTCCCTCAATTCATGGTATTTTTGGGAGCCGTTTGCGGCAAATTAAAGAGCGCGCCGAGATCTTCAATTTGATCGGAGCAAATCCTTGTTTATCCAACCTTGGAATTTTGAGATCTAGGGCACAAATTTGGAAGTTTTTGCATCTTTTGAGGTAGGGGTCTCTAATTCATGTTTTCTTGTGCCTTTGTGAGTCAATTCCTTGTTAATTGTTGATAATATGCTTAATTGGTATTAATTACCCCTAAAATGATTTATTTGTGGTGTGTAAAGTTCATGATTATATGTATTGGTTGATTTGTATGAAAATCATGCCTATTGTGTTATTAGCTTGCTAAAAATGTTATGTGATAGCATGTGTAATCTTCTTAGAAATTATTGTATAGCATGCTTATTTGTGTAGTATGAAAATCCTTTATTATCATGGCATGGAAAGTATGAGACATACATACACATTTTGGGGCATGAATGAAGGAAAATGATTTGAAACAAATGAAAAAAGGGAATTTAGGGAAAAGTTTTGATTAAAGTGATTTTATGAAAAACCGGTTGCCGCGAAGTCACAAAAGGGCCGTGGTGTTAATATATCCTAGAGGGAACAAGGGGAATCACCCTAGCATGGTTGAGCTATCTGGGCTCTAAATGATACCGTGGAGGTACCAAGGGTTAGGGACATTAGTCATTCCTTTTCTCGTGTCGCTGCGAAGTCATCGACGGACATGTTATATTAACAGTTTGAAAGGAGAAGGATTTGGATTTTGAAAATGGGGAGTGACATACATAGCATTGCATTTCATGTCACAAAGTTGTTTCAGCAAGACTTGAGCTTGTGGGGCTTTTTTTTTTTCCCCGGTAAAGCATGATCCTATTTTCTATATCTCTATTCTTTGTCTGGATTCATGAGGTCACAAAAGGTGTGTCTTAGGCACCACCTACTGAGCAATTTGCTCACCTTATTATATTTAACATTTTTCAGGGCACGGTAAAAAAGTGGCGGACGACAATCCACCACCAGCTTAGTTTTGTTGGCGGACTTGGACTTCTTTGTATTTGATACATATATTAACCCTTTTTGTTGTAATTAATATTAGGGGACAATTTGTATCATCTACATGGTTGGAAATGGTCTTGAGACCATTCATTTGTATTTTGTGGTCTCATCATGATTTTAATACCCATGTAAGACCTTAAGGCCATATTTTTGATGTATGATGCTTTCGCTTAATTTTAATGGTGTATCGAACTCGTGTATGGCCTTATCCGATTTTAGTACTACTTAGTTGTGTTAGTTTTATCATCAAATGGAAGAATTGGGACAGGTTTGAGCTTTGTGTAAGGTCACCAAAGGACCAAAGTGGTGCCAAGGAGCATAAGACTTCAATTATAGGCTGTTTGGGGCGATTTTGGGGTTCTGGGCATCTTGAATCGATTCAGCCCCATTGAAATTCAAGGGGGGAAATTGGGTTCAAGAATGAGCATTTTGCCCATCTTGAACCGGTTTAGCCCCACTAAACCGGTTCAAGTGCCTCAGGGCACTGTTTTGCCTTCTTCAGTTGACAGTTTGGAATGTTTGATTTCGGATGGTCATAACTTCTTCGTTCCGAACCCAAATGGGGTCATTTTTGAGTCTATTTTCAAGTATTTTGAGTTAGCTTTCCAATGAGACTAACATTATCCTAAAATTTCATTCATGTTGGGAGTTATGCTCATTTTAGTGGGACAGTGTCAGAATTTCCTTTAAACCGGGAAATGATACTTTTGGAGATTCTTATCCGATGACCGTAGAACTTCACCAATCATCACAGAATGTCTAGAATAATTTTTTTAGACCTCATTTGACTAATTTAAGGTCTTATTATCCTCTCACAATGTAAAATGACTATTTTACCACTAGTGTGTCCTCAGGTTCGGGTAAGGACCCGGTTAGTGATCCAGACCACCGGTTTAGGTCGTTACAACAAGGGAAGATGAAGAGACCCATTAACTTCATTCCAAGTCTTTTTGTTTTTGGGTAAGAACTTGACTCCAAGTCTTCTTCTTCGTCTTATTTATTTATTTTTTTTGGCAAATACTTGACTCCAAGTCTTTGTATTAGCGAGTCTTGTGTTTAGCTTTTTGTTTAAAAATTTTAGAATTTAAATTTTTGCAATGACTTAGAACTTCGACACTTATCCATGAAAGATGACTATGTTTCGCTTGTTGAAACTATGGCAGGTTTAGGGGTAGAGTGCTGCAATATATCTGAAAAATTTCATTGTGCAGGTGGCAAGGAGTGCATTCGGACCATCCGTGTAACGTATTACATGCTTGGTAAAAAACGATTGAATGTGCCCGTTGCACGGTGCAACGGGCGCAAAGAGTTTTACTCCCCATGGAGATGGGCTTTTACATTTTTTAGAGCAATCCGCACGAAGAAGTTGGATATGAGTTGGATTTTAGAGTTGTACTAAGACTATTAATATTTACAGGTAGGGAAGACATAATTATAGGACACTACCTAGCATTTTTTATTTAGATCAATTCTTTCATACTTATTTTATTATTATTATTTTTCTTTTTTTTTTTTTTCTTTTTTCGAGAAATTGTAAGTGGTTGTTTTTCTTTCTTAATTTATATTATTGAGTTATTCTATGTTGTTAAAATTCTATGACTAGTTTTCCATGTTTGTTTAATTTATTTTCCATGTGTTGTTTAATTCTGCTTGAATTATATTATTTAATTTTAATTGCAAATGTTGAGAATCTCATCTTAATATTCTCTATTCATTATAATTTTTTATTTTTTATTTTTTTGTTTGTTATAACTAGGTCCACCTCATAACGCATCCATGACCTCATAACTCTCATTTTTAAATCATTGGTCAAGGTCAGTGTCATAGTCTTCGATGGCCATAATGTAATTTTGTTTCCTTGGATCATCTGCTAAGTTAAGGCCAAATGTTGTTAAAATTCTATGACTAGTTGGTATGTCCATGTGTTGTTTAATTCCGCTTGAAATATATTATTTAATTTTAATTGCAAATGTTGAGAATATCTTCTTCGTATTATCTATTCATTATATATATATATATATATATATATATATATATATATATATATATTTGTGTGTGAGCTAGGTCCACCTCGTAACTCATCCATGACCTCATAACTCTCATTTTTAAATCACTTGTCAAGGTCCGTGTCAAAGTCTTCGATGACTATAATGCAATATTGTTTTTTTGGATCATCAGTTACGTTAAGGCCAAGTTTCTTCTTAGAAATTTCATCCGAGTGTCATTTATTCTTTGGATCATTGTTAAGGCCAAGTTTCTTCTTAGAAATTTCATCCGAGTGTCATTCAAATGAAAGAATTGTTGGACCATATTAACTATTGTACTCTGGCACATATGAACTTCATTCCAAGTCTATTTGTTTTTGGGTATGAACTTGACTCCAAGTCCTCTTCTTTGTCTAATTTATTTATTTATTTATTTTTGGCAAATACTTCAACTCCAATTCTTTGTATTAGCGGGTCAAAGTCTTCGATGGCAATAATGCAATTTTGTTTCTTTGGATCATCTGTTACCCAAGTTTTTCATCCGAGTGCCATTCAAATGAGAAATGATTCTTATCAGGACTTGGACCATAAGTCTTTTACCTTACCATATAAAAGGGGGTTGGAGTAAGTGTTTAACGTAAAACAGGGGATTATAATTATAAAATTAGAACTTTGTGCTCCCAAGTGTAGGCACGTATCCAATATCTATTCCAAGTGTAGAACGTGACGAAATAATATATGCCCGGACTAGAAAGGAAAAAAAAAAAAAAAATTTATTTAAAAGGGTTTGAATATTTTGAGATTTGATTGGAGTATAAATAATAATTTAAAAATACTACGATTTCATAGATTTACAAATTTGATTCACATGAAATCTCGTATTCATAGTCGATGATGATAAATCAAAGAATTATACTAAGGCATTGCTTAGAATTAATGATGAATCAAAGAATCATAACGACAAATACTTTTCCAAAATAACAGAATCAAATCAAAAAATGAATAGACAATCGGTAGGTAAACACCATTACCACCATATTAATGTTGTGACTTTACTCTTAAATTGTTGACTTGCAGTCCTATTTTTACTTATTTCGAGTGTGATTATCCGAGTTAAAAGTAAATAACTGAAGGACTGAAACACTGTAGTTGGTCCAGAACTTCCTGCCCAGGTTGTTTCCAAAATTGAATACAGAAGTTGCCTCTCTTTAATAAGATACCCCAGAACCAATTTGCCTTGCTAAAAGTTCTTCTAAAATTCTTGTAGAATTATCCTTGATTAATTTTGGCTATTGGATCACCTTGGATACTCCACCTCGTGCGCGTTTCTTTCCGTCTATCGAACTTAATGCACCATCCTCACCTGAATAATATTTAGCACACCCATATAATCTCCATCCACATGTAAAATAAAGCTTGGAATATAAGCAAGCAATTGTTTCAAATTGTTCATCAAATGAGTGGAGCCCACATCTGCAACAAATACTGTGAACCACAAACTCTCTACCGAGTATTTTTATGTTCCTTCCATTCCCCCTAAGCCACATTTTCCCGAGTCTCTGCGTCAGGATGGGAAAGAAGAATGTGATGCTGTTAATGTGGGTAGTGTTCTGGCTGAGGGCTTGGCTGGCCCTGATGAGACTGCTCTTCTAGCCTTCAATGCTCATATCACTCTTGATCCCACTAACATCTTAGCAAAAAATTGGTCAGAAGGAACCTCCTCCTGCAACTGGGTTGGCGTCTCTTGCGGCCGTAGGCACCAAAGAGTGACCGCCTTGAATCTTCCTAACATGGGTTTTAGAGGTACCATTCCCAAAGAAATTGGCAACCTTTCATTCCTTATTTCCATCAACATCAGCAGTAACAACTTTCATGGCCATCTGCCTCACGAGTTGGGTCTTGTGCATCGACTGAAGTCATTAGATCGCAGTTCAATGAGCTTAGTGGATACATTCCAACAAGTTTTGGGTTGCTAACAAAGATTCAAGACATGTATCTGTCTTACAATAGTTTCACAGGATCAATTCCCCAAGAAATTGGCAACCTTTCTGATCTCCATACAGTGGGTATCCGAAACAACAGCATATCAGGTTCCATTCCTTATGCCTTCTTCAACATTTCATCACTGCAATGGAACAGTCTATCATACAATAAGCTATCAGGTACTCTTCCAGTGGACATGTGCACTCATCTTCCAGTACTCGAAAGCTTTTTTGCTTACAGCAATTACCTCAGTGATGAAATTCCCTCCAGTCTATCACTTTGTGGGGAGCTCCGACAATTATATTTGTGGGGAAATAATTTCAGTGGAAGTATACCAGTAGCCATTGGAAATCTTACAAAACTTGAAGAGCTTGATCTTAGTTGCAACAACTTGAATGGTGCATGGTTTATTTTTCTGTCATTTTTTTTAATTGTGTTCTGGGTTTCGCAGCATTTGCGGTAACACATATCATTCAAATTTTCAATCTCTTAATTTTAGTGCCACAACTTCTTTCTCAGGTGAATTATCTCCGGCATTCTTCAACATCTCTTCATTAGTGAAGTTTGATCTCTCATCCAATAAAATCTTTGGTAGTCTCCCGAAGGATCTGTGTGATAAACTTCCAAGGATTGAATTCATTCCCCTGCGGTTGAATCAATTCACCGGTATGCTTCCACGTTCAATTGGTAATAAGGGTGTTTGGTTTGTGGTATGGGCACGAGAGAGCACTGAAAATTATTTTAGAGTGAGAGACAATGGGTTGAGGGCTTGAGAATTTGTAATCACCTATCTTTCCACATCTTCTAGGCAATTCGCCTTAAACATGTAAATCTTTTTATTTTGTGCGGTGCATGGTTTGTTTTTCTGTCATTTTCTTTTTATTTTTTTTATTGTGTTCTGAATTTTGGCAGCATTTGCGGTAACACATATCATTCAAATTTTGAATCTCTTAATTTTACTGTCACAACTTCTTTCTCAGGTGAATTATCTCCGGCATTCTTCAACATCTCTTCATTAGTGAAGTTTGATCTCTCATACAATGAAATCCTTGGTAGTCTCCCGAAGGATCTGTGCCATATACTTCCAAGGATTGAATACATTAACCTTGGTCACAACCAACTCAGTGGCGAGATCAGTCCTATCTTGTCACATTGTGAAGGACTTGAATTACTCAATCTGGGGTGGAATCAATTCACCGGTATGCTTCCACGTTCAATTGGTAATATGTCAATGTTAAAGATACTACAGCTCAGCTCAAACAAACTCATAGGTGAACTACGAGAGTCCATCTTTAACATATCGACGTTACAACTCATTTCCCTGACAGATAATGATCTTTCAGGCAACCTTCCATCAAATATAGGCCTTTGCCTTCCTAATCTTGACAGACTTCTTCTTGGCGGCAACAAATTTGGTGGAGTAATTCCAGAATCACTCTCAAATGCCTCCAAACTTACTAAACTCGATCTATCCGATAACTTTTTCAACGGCAATGTACCTAATAATCTCGGCAATTTACACCTCCTTGAAAAAATCTCCCTTGCAGATAACCAGTTGACAAATGATCCATCTACCCCTGAACTAAGTTTTCTTACTTCACTAACAAATTGCAGGAATTTGACTGCACTTTTGATAGGACCTAATCCACTTGATGGAATTCTTCCAAAATCCTTAGGGAATCTATCTATTTATCTTGAATGGTTTAGTGCAAGTGGTCGCAGCATTAAAGGCATGATTCCGAGTGAAATAGGTAACTTGAGCAACTTGTTGGAATTGTATCTGGGAGATAATGATTTGACAGGACCAATTCCAAAAACACTGGGGCAATTAAGAAAGATCCAACGTCTGAACATATCTGGGAATCGAATACAGGGGCTAATACCCTTCAATTTCTGTAATTTGACAAACTTAGGTGAGTTGATTTTGAGTATAAATCAACTTTCTGGGCCAATACCAAGGTGTTTAGGAAAATTAACTTCGTTGCGACTCCTCTACTTGGACTCCAACGCATTGACTTCAAAAATACCAAGAACTTTGTGGAGCCTTGAGGATATCAATGTGTTGGACCTGTCCTCTAATGGTCTGGTTGGTGCTCTACCTCCAGAAGTTGGCAATTTGAAGCATGTTAGAGAACTTCATCTATCAAAAAATAAGTTCATCGGGGAAATTCCAACCACCATTGGGCAACTTCAGTACTTGGAATCCTTGGATCTATCCCAAAACAGATTACAAGGACATATACCCCTTTTATTTTCTGATTTGATATCTTTGAAGTCATTGAATCTATCTCAGAATAATCTTTCCGGTGTGATCCCCAAGTCGTTGGAGAAACTTTCGTATCTTAAATATTTGAATGTTTCTTTGAATAGACTAAGCTGAGAAATCCCCAATGGAGGACCTTTTTCAAACTTCAAAGCTGAATCTTTTATGCATAATGATGCACTATGTGGTGCACCTCGTTTCCATGTCAGAGCATGTAAAGCACATAAATCAGAGAAGGACAAGAGGTTTCTAAAATATGCTGTACCATCAATTGCATCAGTGGTGATTGCAGCAGCTCTCCTACTTCGGTTGTTGAGATCCCGCAACAAAAAAAGGCAACTTCCCTTACAAGTTGATCAAGAACTTGCTATAACACACAGAAGAATTTCCTACCAAGAGATTCTTCGTGCAACAAGCAACTTTCGTGAAGACAATTTGATTGGGAGAGGAAGATATGGTATGGTATACAAAGGAATATTCGTTGACGGGATGGTTGCTGCTATAAAAGTCTTCAATTTAGAGATACAAAGTGCATTCAAAAGTTTCGAAGTAGAGTGTGAAGCTTTGCGCAACATTCATCATCGGAATCTTGTCGAGATAATCAGCAGTTGCTCTAATACTGATTTCAGAGCCTTGGTGCTAGAATATATGCCTAACGGAAACCTTGAGAAGTGGCTCTACTCCCACAACTACTTTCTGAATATTGTCCAAAGATTAAGCATTGTGATAGATGTTGCATCTGCATTTGAATATCTCCATCACGGCAATTCAATCCCTTGGTGCACTGTGACTTGAAGCCAAGCAACATCCTATTAGATCAAGACATGGTTGCACATGTAGGTGACTTCGGCATAGCAAAGCTATTGAAAGAAAACAAGTTAATAACACAAACGAAGACCTTGGGCACCATTGGGTACATGGCACCAGGTAAAATTCCTACTACAATTGTATCAATAAAATGATTTAGAGAACAGTCATTGAGATCAATATTTATTTCTACTAGTTTGTTAGGCAGTATAAATCCTTTTCATTCCAGATTTCTTTCATTTGATTTGAATATATACTAATTTGTTGTAAATTATGAAATAAAAAATCCTTCTGTGAAACTTCGAAACATACTATCAATTTTCCTCAGATGTGGAAGAAAGTTGTACACACACACACATGGTGATACTCTGTTACTAAAAGGTGCATTACCTTGTGGTACTCTTATTACTTTTTTTGAAAGACCAAAAGGATTGTAATAACTACACAAGTAATTCAATGAGTTGAAATTTAGAATCAATTGCTCTAATAAAGTTAATTATTGTCTTACCCCCTTCTAATTATCAGGACTTGGTTCTATTTTGAAGTATTTATTTTTACTACTTTTAATAAATTTACTATTTTGAAGTATTATGAATGTTATTGTTGCAGAGTATGGTTCAGCTGGAATAGTGTCTACTAAAGTGGATGTTTACAGTTTTGGGATTCTATTGATGGAAACATTTACAAGAAAGAGCCCCACGGACGATCTGCTTTTTGGTAACCAAAGTTTGAAGCATTGGGTAAACGATTCATTCCCTAGTGCGGTGATGGAGGTTGTGGATGCTAACTTACTGAGAGAAGAAAGAGGAAATCCTATTGCTGTAAAAAATTGTTTTTTGTCAATCATGGAATTAGCTCTACAATGCACAACAGACTCACCTAAGGAGAGGATTGTCATGACAGAGGTCCTAGTCCGTCTCAAGAAGATCAAAAACTCGTTTCAAGAGAATATAATGGGTATTGCATCTATTGTTCTGTAAGTATCTCTGCTTTCTCCTTCTAGCAATTTTTGTTGGAACTAGATCACATAAATGACTATATATCCCATATTAAAAGGAGACAATCATATCAGTATAAGTTTATGATGAATAATAATATTATGAAATAACCATAATAATGAAGTTACAAAAATTTTTAAATCAAGGCTTAAAGGCGCATAATTGCTTAGTTGAAGCCTCTCTTAGGTGCATGACGGAGCCAGAAAATTATTTCAGGTGGGCACATTGTATACTAAATGCCTATTTAGGTAATAATGTGCATACATATAAATTATTGTTTATGGAGTATATATATAGAAGGAGACATAGGTAGGAAAAAGATATATATAATAAGAGAAGGAAAAAATCCAAGGGCACCCTGTTCCTGTAATACCCTACCTCTGTTCTTGCTTAGGTGCAATCAGAATATCAAATGGCAGCACTATCTCCGGGATTTAGTTAGGCCAGATTCAATGATTTATATGTCAATAGAGTGACACAAACCCATGTATTCCTCTCCATCCAATCATTCATCCAAAATAACATATAATTTATGAAAATTATATTCTGAACAAGTATATCAATATATGTATGTATATATCGAGTGTAAAATTTGAAAAATTTACCAACCTGGAATTTCTATAATTCCATAATTTTGTTACCAAAAAGTTGGCCAAAATTTCAATTCCAATCATCAGAATGGTTGCCAGAATCCAAACGGGAAGGTTGGAACGTTAACCAGAATTCGGGTTTTATGCCGAAGTCTCATTGGTACCTCACTGGAAACTTCATCGGTTCCTCACTAGAATCTTCATTGGACCTTCATTAGACCTTCATCGGAATCTGGGCATGGTTGTCGGAAACCTCATCGGAGTTTCACTGGAATCCGGACTTGGTCACTGGAAACCTCATCCGACATTCATCGGAATATCAGGAATTCTCCCTTTCTCACTGTGTTAGACTTACTCTCAAGTCTGGTACACTCCGTATGAGGTCACCTCAAGCCTATTTATAGGCTTCATATTTAGTAAGTGCATAAATGATGGACATAATGATGGAAGCCCAAAAGTATAGTGTTACAAGTCACTTATGCGGAAATAAATACTCCATCCATCCCAATATAGTTGTCCACTTCGTAACCTGTGACTAGTACACTCCGTATGAGGTCACCTCAAGCCTATTTATAGGCTCCATATTTAGTAAGTGCATAAATGATGGACATAATGATGGAAGCCCAAAAGTAGAGTGTTACAAGTCACTTATGCAGAAATAAATAGTAATGTATTTAACCAAACAAATCAAAAGTCATGAGTTACAACTCATAGTTAATATGTATATATGATTTTGAAACACGTTCCAACAATTTAATTTAAAAAGATTTAATACTATGTTATGGAAGAATATTTTGCTATGTTTAAGATAGATCTATTTATTTGTTGATTTATTTGTGTTTTTTTTTTGGGGTGGGTGGGGGGTAGAGACCCATACCCGGTAGTATGATTCTGTTTAAGATTTCTAGCACGACCTAACTTCATAGTTATTGATTGATAGCATTGCAATTTCTAAGATGGAATTGGCATATGTCTGTTCTGTACGCATGCAACCAATGCTATGGCACTGTGCTCAATTAATGGTTTTGTTAAAAATAGAGAAAAGGAGAAAATATAATGTATTGTATTACTGTATTGAATTAAAATATACAACCACGAATAGGGTTTATATAAGTGTGGATGGGAGGTAGGTGAGTAAGTGTTACCGAAGCAAATCTATACATGAAAATAAAGGGTAGGTTAGCTGATGACTATACAAGGTGAAAACCCTAACCCTAATAATCTAAGAAGAAGAAACAAATTACAATATATCGGTCAACTATCCTAATTATAATAATTAATTACCAAATCAATTTTGGAGAATTTATATAAATATATTAGGAAATACAGCTCATTCTGACACTCCCCCTCAAGTTGGAGTATAGATATATATCATACCCAACTTGCTAATTGCACCATGGAATGCCCTTCCTGAAACTGCCTTCGTGAGTATGTCAGCCAACTGATATTCGGACCGAACAAACGAAAATTGCATAACTTTTTGATCAAGATTCTCTTTAATAAAATGACGATTAACTTCAACATGTTTTGTATGATCATGTTGAACCGAATTATGTGCAATTTCAATGGCTACCTTATTATCACAATGTAGATTCATCGATTTCTCATAATTAATCACCAAATCTTATAATACATGTTTGACCCATAGCAATTCGCACGCACCATGAGCCATACCTCATAATTTAGCTTCCGCACTTGATCTAGAAACCACCCTCTGCTTATTGCTTCTCCAAGTGACAAGATTATCTTCCACAAAAGTAAAGTAACCCGATGTGGACCACTTATCAGTCTGACTCCCTGCCCAATCAGAATCTGTAATCCTTCAATTCCATGGACCCCATTCTTAAAGAATAGTATTTCTCTTCTTAGTGCACTCTTCAAATACTTTAAGATTCGATACACTACATTCATATGTTCTTCACTCAGTGCATGCATAAACTGGCTCAACACACTTACTGCATAGGCTATGTCCGACCTTGTGTGTGACAAATAGATTAGTCTCCTAACTAACCTTTGACAACGTCCCTTGTTAGTTGGGACCTAATCCATAGACTCTCTAAGCTTGTGAATCATCTCTATATGTGTCTCTACGGGTTTGCAGGCTAACACTCCAGTCTCAGTGTGACAGCCCAAGTTTTATAAACTTCGCTTTTGTATTTGGTTCATTTGAGTTCTGTAGCTTTATGGGAAGTCACTTTGGCATCTTAGGGATGACGTACATCTCTAGAAACCTTGTTTTTCTCTTTTGCTTCTGTATTTTGGATCCGTTTCTGGGTCAACTTTTAGGTCATCATAGACGCACCGTGTTTGTAAAACTTGGGCCGTCAAAGGTGGTATCAAAGCTCCTAGGTTTTAATACCTTAAGACGACGAGTTGTTGGGTGCATATTATGCTTTTGTTGACATGCTCTACATGATTACATGCTTCTTGTTAACATATTTAATATGATCACATGTTCACGTGCTTATGTGGCAATATGTTTAGAAGCTTTCTTTAACTGTCTTAGCATGACCGCATGTTGCATACATTGACATGCTCTATGTTTCGTGCATTTATGGTGTGAGTTGTATTCGGTCATAGCGACTTGTGTTGTTGTTGACCTCATTTTTTGTGCACATAGCATTATGGTTTTGACACGTGGAAAGTCTTCTCATCACGCTGGAGATGAGCGGGTGGATGATATAGAGCTTATCAGAGATCTTCTTAGGAGGGTTAGGGCTCA